AAGTGGATTCTTTACTGACTGAGCAACCAGAGAAGCCCCGGGCAATGCATACCTCCTGGAAAATGAGCTTGCTTTCGGCCCTGATAGCTTTGTCTTTGACTCCAGTCTACTGACATCCTTCCTGAGACGTGCCTGGACTTTTCTGAGCCTGAACTTAGGAACATATGAAGCCAGGAAATGAAGAGACATCCAAAGGAAGCAACAAGTGGGCAGTGAGATGCCAAAGGTTGCTTTCACTTTGCCAACAGCCAGGGCAGTGGGGAAATATATCAGTTCTCCCAAGTTCAAAATTAATATCATTATTATCACAAGTTATGGAATGCCTACATTCTGTAAACTCTTTCTGTCCTTTCCCTCTAATTTTCCCAACAGCCATAAAGTGGAGTTAATATTGTCTACCCACCTTCCCAGGTGGCTCAGTGGTAAAGAATCCGCCTGCAATGCAGGAGACACAGGTTCAATTCCTGGGTTGGGAAGATCCCCTGAAGAAAGAAATGGCAACCCACTGCAGTATTATTGCCTGGGAAATCCCATGAACAGAGGAGCTTTGTGGGCTACAGTTCATGGAGATGCAAAAGAGTTGGACATGATTTAATGGCTAAACAACAACCCTCATTTCAGTTCAGTTCAGTCACTCAGTCGTGTCTGACTCTTTGCGACCCCATGGACTGCAGCACGCCAGGCCTCCCTGTCCATCACCAACTCCTGCACTTTACTCAAACTCAAGTCCATTGAGTCGGTGATGCCATCCAACCATCTCATCCTCTGTCGCCCCCTTCTCCTCCCACCTTCAATCTTTCCCAGCATCGGGGTCTTTTCAAATGAGTCAGCTCTTCACAGCAGGTGGCCAAAGTTTAGCAGCTAAGAAAACTCAGGCTAAAAGGAATTAGCTGAATGTACCCAAGGAAAATGGAGATGGATTCTAACTGGTGTTGTTCATCTCACACATCTTCACAAGCTCTTTCTCTTATGTGTTACTTCTCCTTTGTCTTATTTCCCAGACCTTGAAATTCAGAAAGAGGAAGAAGTATTTTTCACACATCAATTGTCTGTAAATAAAGCAAATCGTTTCTTGTGTAATCGGAAGTACTGCTATTCTGAAGAGGGGGTGGGAAGGGTTAGAAGTGGGAGGGTAGAGGAGCAAGGTCGCTGCAGCAGGAACAGCAGTGGGAGGTTCTGGCTGAGCCCTGCTGAGCAGAGCTGCCCCACCAGCTGCAGCACACAGGCCTGGGCTGCAGGAACAGGTAGGCACCTTGGTTTGGGCTTTCCAGGTGGCTTGGATGGTAAAGAATCCACCTGCAATGCAGGAGACCTGGGTTCCTGGTTGGGAAGCTCCTCTGGAGAAGGGAATGGCAACCCACTCCAGTATTCTTGCCTGGAGAGTTCAATGGACAGATGAGCTGAAGGCTGCAGTCCATGGGGTCGCAATGAGTCGGACACAACTGAGCAACTAACATTTTCACTTTTTCTTTTGACTTGGATCATGAATTTGCAGGGTCAGGGCCATCCTTTAAATGGGCAGCCAGGAATAGGATTCTCATTCTGTCTCTGACTCCCTGCTGGGCTTGCTAAGACTTCCCAGGTTTCTGTTTATTTACTTTCCAAATCAGAGGATGGAGTGAAATGATCCTCAGGTTTCCTTCAAGATGTTGAGGGATGGTTTTCTATAATTCTCTGCATTTCCTGGTGTGTCAGTCTTATACAGAGCATGGTCTCAATAAACACTGTGCAGTTAGATTGAATCCTGAGCACGGAGCCCCACCGATTTGTTCTAATTCTGTAAGAGAGAAAACTGCTCTTTGCAGCGCAGGTGGCCTCCAAGCGGTGACTTGTCTTCAAAGTTGGGGTTTTAGAAGTGTTTTGCAAAGTTGGGAGCTACCACAACTTTATCTCCCCTGGATGAATGTGGACGGAAAAAGGAGCTCTCTCCGACAGTGGAGCTTGGAGACGATGGCATCAGTCTGGAGCCTTCTTGCAAAGTCATAAAGAATCTTGATGATACAGAATTCTTCCTAAAAACCAGCCATATGTGTCAAAATTGAAGTAGTGTAGCCTTAAACTCCTTAAAAACACTTCTAAATGTTACTCTCAGAAGGTAATTGAATAGACGTGGCACCACAGAGGGGCAAAGATAATCATTGTGGCATTGCTCATAATCGTAACTGTTCATAATGGGCTTCCCAGGCGGTTCAGCTGGTAAAGAATCAGCCTGCAGTGCAGGAGACCTGGGTTCGATCCCTGTGTTGGGAAGATCCCCTGGAGAAGGGCATGGCAACCCACTCCAGTATTCTGGCCTGGAGAATTCCATGGACCAGAGGAGCCTGGGAGGCTGCTATCCATGGAGTCGCAAAGAGTTGGACATCACTGAACGACTAAGCACAGCACAGTATTGGAGTTTCAGCTTCAGTGTCAGTCCTTTCAGTGAACACCCAGGACTGATCTCCTTTAGGATGGACTGGTTGGATCTCCTTGCATTCCAAGGGACTCTCAAGAGTCTTCCAACACCACAGTTCAAAAGCATCAATTCTTCAGTGCTCAGCTTTCTTTATAGTCCAACTCTCACATCCGTACATGACTACTGGAAAACCCATAGCTTTGACTATATGGATGTTTGTTGGCAAAGTAATGTCTCTGTTTTTTAATATGCTGTCTAGGTTTGCCATCACCTTTTTTCCAAGGAGTAAGCGTCTTTTAATTTCATGGCCGCAGTCACCATCTGCAGTGATTGTGGAGCCCAAGAAAATAAAGTCTGTCACTGTTTTCATTGTTTCCCCATCGATTTGCCATGAAGTGATGGGACTGAACTGGAACTGTGTTTGAGTGTCTCCTGTGGAGGTGTGGGTCAGCAGTGGCCTGCCACGGGGGCAGGGGCTCTGGGTTCCGCAGACCTGGGTATGGCATAAGCCCTCTTGGAGGAGGCGTCACTAACCCCACCACAGAGGTGCCAGAACTTAGACAGGACTCGGAAGCAGACTCTTGGAGGCACAGACAGAACCGTGTGCACCAGCACCCAGGAGAAAGGAGCAGTGATCCCACAAGGGACTGACCCAGACTTGCCCGTGAGCATCCAGGAGTCTCCAGCAGCTGTACCTGAAACTAACACAACATTGTAAATCAACTCAACACCTGCATAAAATTAAAAACTTTTAGTGGTAAAAGAGAATAAACATACATGGTATATGAGAATACAGTGAGGTAGAGGGTACCAGCTAGGATTCCAGTCCCAGTTTCAGGCTTAGAACCAAGCACAGGCTAGAGACCTTGGGTACGAGAACTGACGCATATAGGAAGGAATCCAGAACTACAAATACTTTTTAAAAAATCTTTAAGTTGAAGGTCAAATTTTTTTATTTCTTTTGAATTTAATTTTTTAATTTTTTATTGTGATAAGAGCACAGAACATGAGCTCTTTGTAAGAGAATTTTAAATGTACAATACAGTATTGTTATCTATAGGCAAGATGTTGTACAACAGATCTCCAGAGCTTATCTTGCATAACTGAAACTTTATACATATTTTATATCAACTCCTCATTTCCTGGAACACACCATTCCATCCTAGTCCTGGCTTTTATGAGTCTGACTATTTTAGATACCATATATAAGTTGAATCATGCAGTTTTTGTCCAATGTGACTGGCTTACTACACTTAGCCTTCCCTAAGAACAGTCTTAAAAAAAGGAAATTCTGCACTATGTGACAATATGAATGAAGCTTGAGAGACTGGTTCCTAACAGTGGCCCCAGCAGATAATCATGGGGCTTGATTCAAAGTATGACCTGAAAGAAAGAGAATCTTGTTCTGAGAACAGATCTGGGAGCACCCCAGGGTCCAGCCGTGCTGCCGAGCCGGGGGACAGCAGCAGCTCTCTCCTTGAGTCCACACTGAAGCTGCCAGTTAGGATGAAGGAAAGCGAATGACAAGGATGAATGCGGTACTGAGAGAAAAATCACAGGTCAGATGGCCTTGGTGCACTTTCCAGTTATGCGAACACAAGCTGGTACTAATTATGTTGGCTATATGATGGCAGGCTAGGTACTTTGCATGACAATTTCATTTAATGAAAACCACTTGAACTTATTATCCAAGTCTCTAAATGTGTAAAGTGGATTTAATAACACCTAAGTTGTTATAAGGACTACAGCTACTGCGGCCCAGTGCCTAGAATTCAGCAGGAGTTAAAGAAGCGCTCACACTGACAATTATTAAACTAACAAAGACAAGGGGCTTGCTCCGGTGCTGCTGCCCAGTCGTGTCTGACTCTTTTCGACCCCATGGACTATGTACACCGGGCTCCTCTGTTTGCGGGATTTCCTTCTGGCAAGAACAGCTGGGCTGGGTGCCATTTTCCCCTCCAGGGGATCATCCCCACACAGTGATTGAATAGGCAGATTTCCTACCACCAGCACCACCGGGGAAGCCCCCATTCTAGGTGAGATAAGTCATTTGCTGAAAGGGACGTGGAAGAGGATTGATCAACATCTTAAAGGAAAGAAAATAAGACTATGACGGAAGACTGGGAAGAATAGATGTAGCATAAAATTACAATCCGGGGGGGACTTTCCTGGTGGTTAGGACTGTGCTTCCACGGCAGAGGGCCTGGATCCGATCCCTGGCTGCTGCGAGGTCTGGCCATACCACACCGGGCGATGTGGTTGGGAACGTTCCACGGTGAAGCCGAGGTGCAGAGGGGTAAGGAAGAGGGGTGAGAGTAGGGGTGGCTGGAAGGAGAGTAGAGTGGGTACGAAGCAAGCTCCTTGTGAGCTGTTTCGACTCTTCAAAATGTTTCCCGCTTTCTCCTGGCGACACGCTTCCTGGCCACAGTGCAAGCACTGCAGCAGACTTGCTGCTGCTCCCCATCCTCAGTTTTCTTCCTAAAGGACAGGTCACCTCTTGGACAATTGGGAAAAATCTTAAGCTCCCGGAAAGTCTGGTCTCCTATCTTTAAGTCAAACCTTGGGTCCCAACTGGGTTCACTTCTTTTCCAGCATCACCAGCACCATGCCATCACCGCTCAAGCTCATGACCATCCGAGCCTTTAATGCCTTCACTCTGAAGGGCGTCGTTATTTCTGAAAGAGAGAAGCCTGGACAGGTCTACCAGAAAGAAGATAACGTGCCAAAAGGTCTGCCAAAAGAAGCCACAGTTCTTGGAGTAAGTCCATCTCCTTACAAGGGGAACCCTGGGGAAAATATTATGAATGAATCCAGACCACAATCTACAATGGACCTGGGAGAATCTTTCTTTTTTTCCCCTGACTCCAGGCTTATTGGGACATGAAATGGAGCTGCATCTTCCTCAGGCCCTTCTGTAGACTAACTGAAACAATTAGATCTTTTCCACCAGAAATCTACACAATAAAGCCTCTTGTAATTTATCTTTAGTATAGTAGAGACTTAGGATTTAACCATTTGATTTTACTCAGTATGATTCAACTTGATTTTATTTTGAGCATATTTCTTAAACATTTTGAAATGAGAGAACCTGGAGTAATCTCACTGTTCGTTTTCTCCCTGTTTACTGGAGTAACTATGAGACACCCAGGTGTCCTAGGTCACCATCCTTCATATTCAGGACTTAATTTCCACATGCTCCGTAATATTCCTTTAGAGACCTAACTCCCACTCATCCCCAGATTTGGAACTCTGCCAAAAATCGGAATTCGGGTTAGTTAACAGCATTATGGTGCTCCCAGGCGGCACTAGTGGTAAAGGATACACCTGCCAGTGCAGGAGATGCCAGACACGCAGGTTCGATCCTTGGGTTGGGAAGATTCTCTGGAGAAGGAAATGGCAACCCACTCCAGTAATCTTGACTAGAAAGTTTCAGAATCGCATGTCATCCTGGTAGGTTATTCACTCTAACTTTTAACAAAAGACAATGCAATTGTCCTTTTCATTTATTAATTGAAAAATCCTAATTTCAGTCTCTTACCTGAAAAAGATATTTTTGAAATGTTATTTGTGTTTTGAACACTGGAGGAGAACAATTATTTCAAGCAATTGTAGACAGTCATGACCTTCAAAAGGTTTTTGTTAAAGATAATTCTAATCTTAGGAATAATTAAGAATTGATAGAATAAAATTTTAAGAAGATTGAGTTTAGTTTAAAAAGCCTAAGAATAATCAGTGTTTTAGAAAATAACAGTAAATGATATACTGAAAAGTTTGAAACATGATCATCTTTAGGATAACTGTCTGATGAATATGTTGCTTGAAAATAAAACCAATTAATGTTTATTATTCTACTATCGTTTACCAGTATTCACCCTCTTAATTTACTTCTTTCAAATAGCTGGTTCCGAGCTGACTTGCCTTTCTCCTTCTTGGTTTGCCCATGCAGCCTGTAATCTAGCCTACAGGTAGCCTAGAATCACAAACACACTTCACCATTTGCTTCAGCAATCAATAAGAGTAGAGATACTATATCAATAAGAGATATGTTTTCCATTCATACATTCACCTATCATTTATTGAGCACCTTCAATGTGCCAGCTACTATTTTACACACTTGAGTTAATCAGTGAACTATACACTTAAGAGTTTTGGTTTTTGTTTTTGTTTTTTTAAGCCCCATTCCCGTATTCCTTGAAGGAACTGGAGAGACAAAGACAGATTTCAGTGGTTTCCCACTTCTTTCACTCTCCCAGGTAATTCACTCTTTCCCTTTGAGATTTTGACTGTTCAGTCACTATCGCTCCATACAGTAGAGTTTCCATCATAAGCCATTGCTATTTCAATGTTTGTGTTTGTGATCCTTCTCGGTTCCTTGACATCTTCTCCCCAGGATCTTGTCCAACCTTCCTCAGACAGACATTCCCCGAGTCCTATCCTGTACCTTGTCAATACTAGCAGCAGGAAACCAACTGAGAAGGTAACAGGCGGGAAAGCTACGGCCCCCAAACGGAGGAAATAGGCTGCAAGTATCAGACGATTTTTTATCTCTCTTAAGCAGCAGGAGGAAACAAACTACAAATGTAAGATTTTTTTCCCTTCCCTATACAAATTTAAAAGGAGGTTTCTTTTAAAATTCTGTGTTGCCATGATGACACCTGGTTCCACCTGAACTTCAGTTTTCTTGAAGCTTGAGCTAGCCAATGCGGTTTTTCTCATGGAAATGTTTTTCTTAAGCTATGTTAATGAACTATGTGTTTACCTTAGACTCTGCCTTTCTTCAAGTTGATTCTTCCTAAGACTCAGAACGGATTAGGGCTCAACAAACCAGTATGTTTTACTCATGGAAATGTTCTCTTAAGCTATGTTAATGAGACTATGTATTTTCCTGGAAACCTGCCTTTCTTCAAGACTCATGTCAATTGTCTTATGGCCTGGGATGACCCTCCTGGTGCCAATGTTATCTCAGAATGCATGTGTGGGTGAGCGGCCTGGTGCCACTCTCTGAGTTTTGAGACATTTCCTTTCTCTAATTATCAACCTGCTAATAGGTATATAACTTCTTGCTAAAAACTAGCAGGGGGCACTCTTTCTGTCCCCTTCTGATGTCTATGACAGAAGCTTTCTCTATCACTTTTATACTTTAATAAATCTTCATCACACAAAAGCTCTGAGCAATCAAGCCTCATCTCTGGGCCTGGATCGAATTCCTCGCCTTTGGAGGCCAAGAATCCCAGCGTCTTTCATGGCTCAGCAACAACCTTTCGCAATCATTATCTATTTTTCAAGAATCTCATACTCCAGCTACAAATTCTCATCTCTCAAGGTCATTCCCTCCGATTTCCATTGACTCTTTGTTTAACCTTGCTGAAACTTATTGATAATAACCCTTCTTCACAGAGCCTTCCTCTCCCAGCCATGACCCCCATAGTCCACTCTCTTGTGATGCCCTCAACAACCTCATCCTCATATCCTTATAGCACACTCTCCAGAAAAAAATCTATGACATTGATTTAACTCTAATGCTGCCCATTTGCCTAATCTGTACTTGAATTCATGCGACTAACCATGCCTGAAAACATACACACACTCACATGCACACATACACATCACTTCTTGTTTATGACCATAAGCCCAAATGGACTGTCAAGGCTGCCTAAAATATGCATGGTATTTCTTTCATCTGTTCACTTTCCTCTGACCCCAGAAAACCACTTCATACATTCTTTCCCTCTCCCACCCCCAAAACCTCTAGAGTCTTCCTTTTCCATTGATCACCTTGCTTCCTAAAATGCTAAGAAAATTGAGCCCATCCGGTGAGAACGTCTGCAAGCTGCTACACGTCTGTAATTACCCACATCTGAGGCCATACATTCTTTCTCTCCTCCCCATTGCTAAAAATAAAATAAATGCCCATCTTCTAATTAAGATATTCTTCCCGGGGTGCGGTAGACTTCAACCCTTATCACTTGTCCAGTAATTCTCTGAAAATTTTCTTAATCATTTCCATGAGGGCAGAATCTTACTGCAATTTCTCCCCATCTTAAAAACAAACAAAAAGCAAAAACAAATACTTTTAACTTCACACACCCTCAAGCTAATGCCCCCTTCTCCCCTTGCCTTCCCAGGAGCACTTCCTAATGGTAGGAAGTCAGTGTCTCTAATTACTCTTGGATGATATTCTCTCTTGAGCCATATCTGGTGGTATCTGTCCCCTTTGCTCCACGCTGCTAACCCAATTTCCAGGTCTTTGGTGTTGATTTTCTCAAACTAATAGAAAGGTTTGGTGTAGCTGATCACTCTCTTCTACTTGAAATACTGTATTTATTCTTGGATGGGCTTCCCTAATAGCTCAGTTGGTAAAGAATCTGCCAGCAATGTAGGAGATCCCAGTTTGGCTCCTGGGTCAGGAATATCAGCTGGAGAAGGGATAGGCTACCCACTCCAGTCTTGTTGGGTTTCTCTGTGGCTCAGCTGGTAAAGAATCCGCCTGCAATGTGGGAGAACTGGGTTTGATCCCTGGGTCAGGAAGATCCCTCGGAGAAGGGAAAGGCTACCTGCTCCAGTATTCTGGCCTGGAGAATTCCGTGGACTATATAGTCCATGGGGTCACCAAGAGTCAGACACAACTGAGCGACTTTCATTTTCCTTCTATTCTTGGACATCAATTCTTCCGGTTTTCCTCCTTTCTCCTGGGTTGTGCCTTTTATGTTTCTATTTTGCTGATCCTAAATTTGGGGTTCTCCACTGCTCAGTCCTTGACTCCACTCTTTCCATATCTGTTACAATGGGGAACTCACCTGGTAATAGGGATTTAAATATTATCTTCACTTGCGACTTGGAACAAAAAGGCTATATCTGTTGCCAGGATCTCTTCTCCCAACTTAAGACTCACATATCCAAAAGCCTATGTACATCTCCACTTGGATATCTACTCAACACCTCTCCCTAGTCTGCCCCAGGCTGAAATCCTGATCTTCCAGCCCCAAGCCCACTCCTCATACAGTATTGCCAATTTTAAATCAGTTTTGACTCCATCACTTCAGATACTCAAGTCGAGACCCTTGGAGGCACACTTCATCCCTCTTTCATAATCCACATTCACACCGTTGGCAAGTCCCATAGGTTTAATCTCCACAGCACATCTAGAACCAAATGACAGAACTTCTCGCCACCTTTGTTATCCACATCTTCCTCCAGGCTGGCATCATCTCACATGTGAATTATGGAAATACCCTCTTTATAGATGCCCCTGCTCTGTTCCCTTACGATCTACTCTCAACTCAGCAGACAGAATGATCTTTTAAAAACGTGAATTGGATCATGCACTATCCTTGCTCAAAATTGTCCAGTGGGCTTGCCTTTTTACTAAGAATGACGGCTAAGTTGGTAAAGAGCCTACAAGGCCATGCACAGCTTGCATCACACCCTCAGTCCTTCTGAGGGCTCATTTCCTAATACTTTGCTCTCAACTCATTTTGCTTCCCAAGGAATTCATCAGTAAAGGACATAATACACATCTGGTGACATTGATTTTCACTTGCTTTATTCCACTGATGTCTGGGATAGTCAATAAATATGAAAACAGTGAGTTTTAAAACAGTGTTTAATAAATATTAAACAGTGAGTAAAGTGAGTAAAGCTCAATATCAGATGATTAGGGCTAAAAACCTAGTTCTTCCATTTGGCCATTGGCATGGGTTTTTACAAGTTATTTTAATTCTGGTGCCTCATTTTTCTTATTTATAAGTGAGAGAAGATGAATAGCTAAAATGTAGAAAGTGTTCAATAAATACAGACTATTATCACCACCACTGGTGTCATTAAAAAGTATTAATAATTATTAAAATCCAATGATGACTAAGATTAATTATGGCACTAAAGACTTTCTGCTCTACTTTACTTCAATTGAAATTGAGCCCTTTATTAACATTCCCATGATAAATTTGCTTTCTATAGCCATCTAACTGGAGTATTGTCTAGAAAATTTTTCCCTATCTATTTGCCCTAGACCAAACCAAACCAAACAAAAACCTGTAAACTACCTTTTGTAAAATAAAGTTAAAAATACATATATCACTCCCTGATTTGCTAGGTTCATAATTCTATCAAAAGTAAAAGAGGTTAGTTACATATGACTTTCTCTAATAGAATGCCTATTGGCACCTTGTAACACTCCCCCGCTCCTTTCTAATTACAGATGATGATGTATATTCTGCACTCTTCAGAATTCACAATGTGCATGCAATGATAGCTCTCATCTGTTTACAGTGTCCTCTGGAAGTTTTTACAGTTTTCCCTCTTATTTCTTTCAGACCATCCAGATCCTGTGTTTCCTGGTGATTTCAAGTTTGGGGGTCATTTTGGTTTCTGCTCCCAATTCTTCCCAGCTCAGCCCAGCGATTTCCACCATTCTGACGTCTGGGTTCCCATTTTTAGGAGCTCTGTGTGTGAGTAGACTGGCGTCTCCAAGAGGGGATATGCTTTATAAATGCCAACTGGGTGCTAAGTCATGGAATGACTCAGCACCAAGAAGCAGGAGAAGGCCGAGTTCCCCCACCTTCCCTCTGTCACTATTGCACATCGTCATCGTGTGTCTCTAGTTCAGGAAAAGCAGCAGAGGGACTTAGTCCATCCTGTGTCAACGTCCCATGGAGTGACTGGTTGGGGCAGGAGGCAACATGGTAACACAGTGGGCATGCCAGTACAGCATTTCTTACCTGGCTTCGTGACATACTTCCAGAGAGTGAAAGGTCTTTCATATCCTTCTGTGGCCCTTTGGTGAGGCCACTGGAATCCCTCCAGTTTAAGAGTAATCCACCTGTCAGCAGAAAGTGAAAAGCTCATTTTTTCTTAAATAAAATGAGCACTGCTGGGAGATGCCACAGATCTGCAGAGGATTAAACTAACAATGGTGAGATTCACGGGAACCAGGGACACTCTTGCTACATTGTCAGAGGCAATCCTGAGCATCTGGTAGAAAGTTCTTTGAGGCCTTCCATGTAGAGGCTCACGGAAAAGGGCCCAGCAGATCCTTTTCCTTGGAGATTGTCCAGGACCTCCCCACATCTCCCAGAAAAGGCCACTTCTTCTCCAGGCAGCATCCTGACAGAGGAGAAAAAGGCATGTTCTGGGCAGACAGACTTTTACCACGGCGCCTCCTCTGTATGGATACAGTCCTCGTGTGGACAAACCGTGCATTGAGGCAGGGGGAGCCCTGCTTCTGCCCCCAGAGCACTGTTTGTCCTTGACTCCGATATCTAACTCACAGTCTGGGCTCCTGCATTCTCTAATGAAAGCTAGAATTAACTCATGCCTGACTGTCTTTGTCTGTGACCACCCGATCCCAAGTTTAAACCACAGCTTAACCCATGTTTCAGCTTCTCAAAACATTATCCCTCCACCAACTGGACGCTTAATACCACTGGGATCAAATGTGGACTTACGGGGCTTTAAAATACTCTTCACGTAAAAGACTCTTCACATCTGACCCTTTCCATTTTCCTCAACTTGCAGCCTGACTCAGGTTATTGCCACCAGCGGCTTGACGGCCACGTGTTTCTGCACTCTGTGCATTACAGCCTGTCTCCTCCGTGCTTTGGGTGGCTGATCCTATCCTTCTCAGCCCTCAAGTCATGGTCTTTCTCTTCCTTCTCTCTTCTTACCTCCTAAGCCAGCAACACTCCCCTCCGTCCATGTGTGCCCCCTTCCCAGACCTCCTCAGCTCCCAGTGATTTCCACGAACATAAATTCAGCTCCTCTGTGCATCTGCCTATTCTTCAAAGTCAGTGGAGGCATCCTGGGGGTGAAAATCAGGGGTCTCTCTCCATATGGATCCCAGTGAATTTACATTATGTATTGATTGAGTTGGGGCTTCCCAGGTGGCTCACTGGTAAAGAATCTGCCTGCCAGTGCAGGACATACAAGAGACGAGAGTTTGATTCCTGGTCAGGAAGATCCCCCGGAGAAGGAACTGGCAACTCACTCCAGTATTCTTGCTTGGGAAGTTCCACGGGCAGATGAGCCTGGCAGGTTACAGTCCATGGGGTTGCAAAGAGTTGGACATGACTGAGTAACTCAACATGTGTATACACACACACACACACACACACACATTGATTGACTGAGAGTAACATGGTGGTCACATTTCTGTAAGTCAACTGAATTGATCATTTCTCTCTTTTCTGAGCAGTTTGCCATTACCGGAACCCTCTCAATTATCTCTGGAAAAAACCAAGTAAGCCTTTTGTAAGTATGAGAACCATGGATTCGTAGCTGACTGGAGTCAAAGGAACTTCGGAGTTAACTCTTCAGAGGGAATTTGGGCTCTTCCCTCCTAGACGCGTGCTCTTTGCCCTACAAAATAGTTCTCCAGTGTCATATTCTAAGCTTGGAGGAGGTTTACCTCATTTGCTTAAATGGTAGAAAATCTTGAATATACCGTGGGCTCTTTACGACTTGCTATCTTGGCCCTGAAGGGGACAGACGGCCGTCTTGTTAGAGCCTAGATATCCTTCCTAGGACAGGGAGATCCTTTTCTAGAGGCAGAGCTGTGTGGGCTTAGGTCCTGTGGCCATCTCCTCCACCCCCTTGGAAAGAGCTCTCAGACTGCAGCCGCTTTGCTGACAAGGTCAGGAGGGCGCGAGGGGAGGCAGGCGCTGAGGTCTTTGATCCTCGCCATAGCAAGCTCCCCTCCCCACAGCCACACACCCACAAAGATGACCTAGGGCGAAGCCACATCCTGACTCAGGGAGATCCACAGTCTGGTCAGCTATGGATGAGGGCACATCAGACGGTGTATGAGGCCGGTATAAGCTCCTGAAGCTTGAAGCTGAGCGTCTTAACCCCAGAACCAATGGGCTGAAGGGTTCACAGGATGGGGTGGGGTCGGAGCTCTGGGACTGGACTGAAGGGTTCACAGGATGGGGTGGGGTCGGAGCTCTGGGACTGGACTGAAGGGTTCAGAGGATGGGGTGGGGTCGGAGGTCTGGGACTGGGGTCAGGAGACCTTTACTTCCATCCCAGCTCTGTCGCTGACACTTCTGTGTGCTTCAAAGAGGTCCTTCCTTCTCCAGCCCAGTTTTCTCATCTACAGAATGTGGAAGAGAAACACGTGGCTCTCAGAGGTGGTTTCCCAAGTGCCCTGAATTCACTGAAAAGGCAAACCACAGCTGAGATGACCTAAGGTGCTGTGGGCTCCACATGTGGGGCCCAAGACGACATGTGGGCTCCAGCTCCTGCACTTGGCAACTCTGGGCAAAGACTCTGCCGGTCAGCCTGCGCTCCCTTCAGGGACTCAGCAGACAAAGCCGTACGGCTACAGGGCCAAGAGATAAGACGACAGGGCAACCATGCTCCCCAACAGCCGGTATCCCACTGTGAGGTTAAAACAGAACGGAGCGTGTGCTGGGAGCCTGACACCAAGCCTGGCTCATCTTTGTGGAGGAATCATTTCCTGTGAAGGCCCTTTTCCCCAAGAGGTAGAATATGCCCCAGGAGATAGTGTGACGGATGTGGTTCTCACTGGTCTGATCCACCTCCAGATGGGTATTCCAACTTCTCCGGCTGGTTTCTGCCTTTTCTCTGGAGCCGCTTCTTGATGGGAAGAGACTCATAGACCGGGCCTCCCAGGAGGGGCCGAAGGCCACATTCCAGAAGCCCTTAGAGCAAAAGAAGGATGCGAAAGCTGCTGAGGAAGGCGCGGGGACCCTGGCAGTTGCCTGAGTAGCTCCTCCTCCCTCTGGGTGGCGCTGCCGAGGCGAGGAGCCAGACCGTCCCTCTAAGAAAGAGCGGTTCACACGCCTCCTCATTCAGCAAACCGACCGATTACATCGGTGACAAGCCGGGCAGTGAGAAGCGCCTACAGGGAAACAAAGCGCAGACTGGGTCCCCAGGGAGCGCACCGGTCGGAGGGAAACGGACGCGGGGAAGTCCCATCGCAGCGCCGGGGAGGGGCGCGAACAGCGCCACGTGCTGCGTCCGTGATGAGGTCCCAATGCAGAGCTGCTCTTCCAGGCCACGAACAGCCTCATCTCCAGCGCAGTGAGCTCCGTGGCTGCTGGGGTGGGCCTCGTCCTGCTTGCCAACAGCCCGGCAGCTCCGAGGCCGGCCTCTCAGCAGTGTGACTCCGGAAGGGATTACCGAGCCTCACTGCCTTATGCGAGGTACCATTATTCGATATACGAAGTCAAGGACTGTCTCCTGACCAGTGTCGGTCTGACAGTAAGTAGTTTCGGACTGCACTTCCTGTCATGTGAAATCTCAGTGTCCCTGCTTTGCATACATTTCTGACTTTTCAGCAGTCTCCAGCCCGGTTGGTTTGAATGTCTGGAAGCAACTACAGGAAAGACAAAAGACTATGGTTGAAAGAGGTTGGTCGGCAGGCTGCAAAATACAGGTGAAGCACTGTGCAAGGTCAAAACAGGGAATCGAGAAGCGCTGTGTGTGGTGATCCATTTGGTCATCCTTCTTTATTAATAAATACCCTATTCTCAATAGCTCTAGCCCTCAAAGTGCCCCCTTTGTTGAACAGGCATTCCCACCACCCCCAACATGGACAGAAACATTTCCTTTTGATTTGAACTTGATTTGATTTGGGATTAATGCATCATATGGTAAGTTGGTATGGAACTTGAACCTTAAGACCAAGCACCTAATTACTAGACTGGCACAGCAGGGCTGCAGACAATAAGAGACGGTCTACCCAGGGATTTGACTCTTAGCAGAAATGCCAGCATCCCTGGGCACCATCTTTTTGCCACTTTTCCTCCAAACTTGATGGTCACCACCTGTTGGTTATGACCATCTTGGCTTAGTCAGTCCTCTATATGCAGGCTCAGAGTTTGGAAAGCATAAACTCTGGCCCTTAAAGGAGAAAGATCCCTCCATTTGTGACTCCTCCTTGTCTGAGCTGAGGAAACAAAGGCAACCTCTCTCCTTCCCTTGGATCTGTTTCTTGAACCGCAGAGAATGTGTGCGCACTTCTGAACTCACAGCCTTCTGTGAGGTTGCCTGTGGGACCCAGAGGTTGCCAAAAGCATCTGCTTTGATCCAGGAGCTTTAGGAAGTGGAAGGGCATGGAGACTCATCTGGTTGGAAATCAGCTTGAGGAAGTCCAGCCGATAGTACCACCCTGGTGCAGGGGAGAGGTCAGGCAAAGCATGGAGAATGGGAGAAGTGTTCTTTCCGCCTCTGGTAATCAGAGCTTAATTCAGCGAAAACTCAGCTCAAACTGCCTCCCACTCTCAGGTAACTAGAGCCAAAGAGAACTTCCTGCAACATCAGAGAAGCTGCAACTCCGCAGACTGGGCAGACTTCAAAGGTCCACTCTTTCTTTATTAACATAAAGATTACCTGGGGAAAGTAACAAATTTAAAGTTAAAAATGTATGTTGAGAGATGGAAGAAGGAAAGAAGGGAGGGTGGTAGAAAGGTCATCTTACATCCTAGACACTAAGAAGGAGATTAAAGCCGGAGCAGAAATCAGAAGACCATGGAGGCCAGGACAGGAACATAGGTGTTGGAGGCTGGGCTCATGGAATTTTAATTCCCATGATAGGGTTTGAGGTTCTTTAGGCACACTGGATGCAGGAAGCTCACACTGAGCGCCCTGCAAAATGTTAGGAGCTGAGACTAAATATTTAGCCTATTTAAGAAATAAGATAAGGAAAAAAACTCTGTCCTGCATTTCAAGAAGCTTCCAGAAACTCTTCCATAAAGGTTTATAGGATGAAATCATCTCACCAAGCCTTGAGCAGGTAGGGTACCCAAGTCCAAAATTACATATAAAATAGAGGAACCTTGAATAAAATGACTAACTTAAGATTGCCCCTGGATCTGTGAAACTCCTAAGGTAGCATCAGAATCAAACCCGACTCCCATCAAGAGTTACTGTTGTTCAGTCGCTAACGCACGTCCAGCTCTTTGCAAGCCCGTGGACTGCAGCACGCCAGGCTCCTCTGTTCCCCACGCTGTCCTGGAGGCAGCGATGCCACCTAACCGCCTCACGCTCTGCCGCCTTCTCCTTGTGCTGTCAGTCTTTCCCAGAGCAGGGTCTTCCCCAGCGAGTCCGTTCTTTGCATCAGGTAGCCAAACTACTGGAGCTTTAGCTTCAACAACAGTCCTTCCAGTGAATGTTCAGGCTTGATTTCCTTTAGGATGGACTCTTTGCAATCTGAAGGACTCTCAAGAGTCTTCTCCATCAACAGAGATGTCCAGAAGTCCAAATTATGAGTCTCCCACATACCAAAGAACCCTCCAACCATCACCACCCACACACTGAAGTTATCTAAGAATGAAAACATTTTGAAAACCATAAGGGAAAAAATGAGGGATAGCAGAAAATGGGACAAATATGAAATTTAGTTACCTGAGAGTTGGAGATTACATCATAATTTGAAAAAATGCTATAATGAAACTACATTTTAAATGATTAAAGATATTAAAAAAGGAATTAAAACCAAAATGAAAGAATATGGCAATGAACAGCAACAACAAAAAGTGGATTTGAAAAGGAGCCAAATAGTATGATTAGAAATGAAAATTACATTTGAAATTAATAACTTAGCATCAGTTAAATAGGAGCTACAACACATAGGTCTGATTAAACCACATAGAACACAATACACTAAGATAAAAATTTAGAAAATATCAATAAGAAGTTAAAAGACACGGAAGACAGTGAAGGGAGAATGTTCAACACATCTCATATGAACTCCAGTGAGACAGCGAGGTAGACAGGGAGGATGCAAGAGAAATAAGTAAGAATTTTGCAGAATGTAAGAAAGATATGAGATTTCAGACTGAAAGACTGCACTGAGATTGTTGCAGGATGAATAAAAACAAGCCCACACCCAGAAACAGCATGGCAATCAAAAGCACCCAAGAAAAAAAAGAAAATAATAGGAGCAACTATAGGTAAATGAGTGACCTCCCTGGTGGTCAGCTGGTAAAGAATCTGCCTGCAACGTGGGAGACCTGGGTTCGATCCCTGGGTTGGGAAGATCCCCTGGAGAAGGGAATAGCTCCCCACTCCAGTATTCTGGCCTGGAGAATGCCATGGATTGCATGGGGTCGCCAGGAGTCGAACACAACTGAGCGACTTTCACACACACACAGGTAAATGAAGGATGACTCTCATCTCTGAATGTGGAATGCCGAAGTCTTGAGTGGAAATCCTTGCTATTCATTTCCCTGCTTTGGTTCAGAGATCCGAAAGGAAAAGCAGGAAAGAGGAGGACATGGTCTTCACTGTCTCTTGTTCTCTCCACTATTAGAGTCTTCACTCGCAGTCTTGTCTACTGAACAAGAGTTGGGGCACCAACCATTCCTGTGTTGATTTACAGGGTGTCCTGGTGGTGATGCTTACCTTCACGGTGCTGGAGCTCTCAGCAGCTGCATATGCTTCTGTCTTTTGGTGGAAAAGGTCTACTCTAGCCCTGCATTCATCCGGTCACAAATAAGAAGGACTGGGGGACTGGAGCTGACATATGCACATTAAGACGGATGAAACAGATATCTAGTAAGAACCTGCTGCATAACACAGGGACTCTACTCAACGCTCTGGGGTGGCAGAGAGGGAGCGTACGTACACGGATGGCTGACTCACTCTGCTGTGTTGACTAACGTAATGTGGCAAAGCAACTAAACTCCAATAAACAATAAAATAAAAAGAAGAGGAAATGTGTGATCTTGAGCTAGTGTGGACTGGCTGAGTCATGTGGCTTTGTAGGCCCCGCTTCTGTAGTGTTTTCATACTCACATTGCTTAAATTTTAAACATCAGAGATTCCAAGAACATTTCAATTAAAAAGTACTTCTAAAATAATATGGCTCTATTTCTGTCAATTAAATATGCCTCTGAACCCTGTCTCATTTAACGACTTTATTCTTAAATATCTAAACTCAAAGATCATAATTAACCACAAGGCTCTCTCCCATCTAAGTTCTAGACCAAACAAGAAATTAGACATATAGAAATATAATTAACTTTGTTACTGTACTGCAGTGAACAATGTGAACTACCCAATAACGAGGTTCCTAATGTTGTCCCCTGCTCTAGGCCTTAGGCCTTATCCTAGAGGGGAATGTGCAACAGAAACTCACAGGACGCTTTCCAGATGACATGTAGAGAGGGTGTCACAGAAGTGATACACACCATAGCCCTTCAGAGGAAACTATTCAAATGCCAAAGAGTAGGAGAGACAAATAAAAACTGCGGTGTAGTCAAACAATGGGTGGGCTTCCCTGTGGCTCAGACGGTAAAGACTCTGCTTGCAATGCAGGAGACCCGGGTTCAGGTCCTGGCTCAGGAAGATCCCCTGGAGGAGGGCATGGCACCCCACTGCAGTGCTCTTGCCTGGAGAATCCCACGGACAGAGGAGCCTGGCGGGCTGCAGTCCCAGGGGTCACAAAGGACAAAACCGAGTGACTTACACACACAAACAATGGTACATCAATGATACACCAATGATCGACCAATGATACACCAATGACCAACCAATGATCTACCAATGACACAAGTGAGCAAACAATTACATGCCATGCAGATGAATCCACAGTGTATGACTCCCTGCATACAGTTTAAATACAAACACAACTAATTCAGAGTGTTAGGATACCGGTTGCCTTTGCAGTTAATAATTGGAAGGGGACCCAGAGGGCCTATGCATTCCTGCAGATACTCTTTTTCTTGATCTGGATACTAGTACTCTGCTTATATGATTTGTGTGCTCTTGTTTGCAGGTAACAGTTGAAAAAAAAACTTTTTTTCAAAAGTTACTTTTGAGTTCTTTGCCAGTTTAGTTATTGAGCCATCACTCACCTCTTCTCCATGGTCAGATTCCTCAAAAAAAAAAAAACAAACATAAAACCATCTTCCAAAAACCCTGGAGTCTTCCTTGACTCTTTAATTTCTTCCACTTCACCATATTTAACCTATCATTAAAAACTTCTAGGCCCTGCTTCAAAACATCCAGAGTCTGGTTGCTTCTCACCATTTCATGAGCATGCATCATTTTGCACTGGCATTATCACAGTGATAAACCAAGTGGGCACCCACACCACATAGCAGATGGTGCAGTTGTTTGTAAATGTAATATCAGGTCATGTCATTCCTCTGCTCAAACCAACTGCATTTCATTAAAAATAGAAGCCAGCATCCTTAAATGCCCTTAGTATCTGAGTTCTCACTTCCTCTCCCACCTCTCTGATTACTCACCTCCCTGCTCGCTATGCTACTGACGTGGGCTTTTGCTGTCTCGTGCCATATTCTTTCTTCAGGAACTTTACATTTGCAGGCGCCTTGATTTGGAATGCTTTTCTTACAATCATTTACGTTGCTTGCTTTCTTACCTCTTTCAGGTCTTTCTTCAAACCACTCGCTCTCAATGAAACTTCCCCCCACCAATCTACATAAAATTATATCCCTCTTCCTGCCTTCATTTGCTTGCTTTTTCTCCACAGCACTTACCACCAGCTGACTTACTATGGATTTTATTTGTTTGTTAATTGTACATGTATTCTCACTAGTCTGTTAACTACAGTAGAGTACTCACTTCCTACTCCCTACTTGACTGTTTTCAAGTGTGTGTGTGTGTGTGTGTGTGTGTGTGTGTGTGAATATTTTACACTGGGACTGGAGAAACCTTGAGATTTCTTTTTACCCAATAAGCCAAGCAATGCAATAAAATTATATGTTATCCAAGATCTATTACTTATTTGCTTACTTTTTACTGTTAATAGAAAGTTTCTTCAGACTGTCTAGAGGATTATATTCAGCATTATCTAGGATAATATTGCAAACTGATGGGACGATTGGTAAGGACATTTCACCTTTCATTTCTAACTCATCCAACCCCTTACCCCTAGTCTGGTTGTCTTTCAAAACTGGAGTGACCATCCACTCAGTTTCTAAAGTCAGAAATTTGGGAGTCTTTCTTTGGCTCCTTACTTTTTGCCTCATAACCACATTCAGTTTGGGAAATCAATTAGCAAGAATCACTAACAAGAAGGTCTAATAAACTCACAGCAAGAAAAGGTGTGAAAGGTTTCAACCAAGCCCAAGAAGACACTGCGGACATTTATCATACATACTAGAAGACCAAGTTCTCAGTCATGATTTTTAAAAAATGCAGCTTCCTCAGAAACTTAATCCTAAATTACTGGTTGAGTCACACGTACTCAGATCCTTATCACAAATTCTCTGATCCTTCTGATCTTAGCCAACTCTGGTGGGAGTCTCCTTGCTGGTCTGATGAAGCAAGTTAGCAGCCTCACTGAGAAGGCAAGGAGCTGAAGGCATCCTCTAATCTCCAGCCCTGGGAGATGCTACAATGCACAGAACAACTTTCTATAGCAAAGAATCTTCAGGCCCCAAATGCCAGCAATGCCAAGGTTAAGAAACCCTGCTATATCTGGTTGCCACAAACTAGGAAATACTCAAGATAATATTTGAACATTATGGGAGGTTTTGTGAAACTATTTGCTTTATGGTTTAATTGTTAAAATCACGACAAATATAAGAATACCAAGGATTAATGTGGAAAACAGGGCTTCGGTGGTGACTCATTGGTAAAGAATCCACCTGCCAATGCAGGAGACAAGAGTTCAATCCCTGATCCAGGAAGATCCCACAGGCCACGTGGAGCAACTAAGCCTATGCGCCGACACTACTGAGCCTGTTCGCCCTAGAGCTGGTGCTCCACAAGAAGAGACGCACTGCAATGAGAAGCCCATTCACCGCAACTACAGAGAACTTCTATTCATCGCAACAGAGAAAAGACAGCGCGGCAGTGAAGACCCAGCACAGCCAAAAATAAAGTAAGTAAATGAGTAAACATTTTTTAAAAGTTAAAATTTTAAAAAAAGGCTTCCCTGGTGTCTCGGACGGTAAAGAATCCGACTGCAATGCAGGAAACCTGGGTTCGATCCCTGGGTTGGGAAGATCCCCTGGTGGAGGGCATGGCAACCCACCTCAGTATTCTTGCCGGGAGAAGCTCCATGGACAGAGGAGATTGGAGGGCTACAGTCCATGGGGGTCTCAAAGAGCTGGACACGGCTGAGCAACTAAGCATAGCACTAGATTCAGACGCCCTTTCTCCCCCACAATCCATCTGCTCTTCACTACAATGGTGATAATACCAACACTTACAAGAATGTGCTGTGCAGATTATCTCATTTAATTCTCACAACAGCCCTATGTTGGGCTTCCCTGGTGGCTCAGATGGTAAAGAATCCGCCGCAATACAGGAGACCTGGTTTAGATCCCTGGGTGGGGAAGACCCCCTGGAGAAGGGAACGGCTACCCACTCCAGGATTCAGGCCTGGAGAATCCCACGGACAGAGGAGCCTGAAAGGCTACAGTCCATGGGGTCGCAAAGAGTCGGACACGACTGAGACTTTCACACACGCGTGCATGCACACACACACACACACACACACACACACACACACAAACATGGAAAGCAAAATTCCATATGGAATTTTATATTGTTTAATTGCATTTGCATACCTTAAACCAGGAAGACTCTGACTTGACTTCATCTTACCTGTCTTTTTGAAAGCTAAAATTACACTCTATGAAAGTGGCAACTACATCTGGTCCAATGCTTTTATGTACTGATTTTTACGCTAGAAAGAAATATGGCTAAACAGTAGTGAAACAATTAGTCAACTACAAGTGGGAAACTCCTTCTGAAAGAGGGCGGCAGCATGGTTGCCGCAGATTTTAGAGACAGACAGGCAGAGTCTGTGTCTTTTCCCGTCCCTTGGTATGTGCCCTTGAACCATTTTACCTTTCTGTCCCTCATTTTCAGTACGGTAGAAATGTTAAAAGAATCAATGTGAATACATGTCAAAACAAAACACCTTCCACAGTGCCAGGAACATTGTGGATATTTCATCATTTAGTTCCTTTCTAGCTCATGAACATAGGCACTGGGACTTGTTGCTACACCACCTATTTATTTTGTGTTGACCCTCTATTTACAAACAAGTGGACAAGAAAGCAAGTCTCCCAGATAACTGGATCCTTCACCAGGAAGACAGAAGAAGATGCTCTAGAATTCTAGGACTCTGTGACTCAATGACTGTGATTCTGTGGTTCCAGCGCTGAGTAATCGCTAAGGACTCATTGCCGAGGACTCCTTGTGTGACTGACGGCAGACCATGATTTTGGCTGCAATGTTTACTCACCCATTTTTCTTCATAGAGTTTTGCCATTGAATCATGGAATCATCATCTGAGGTCAAAAGATCAACCCACGTCATCAATGTACAAGCAAATGAAACTGTATTGACTGCACTTCCCTATGGACCTCACAGTTCTCTGCTGGAATTGCTGAAGGGAGAGCCAAAAGTCTTGGGGGTAAGTCCTCTCCCACTCATGGGTCTTCCTGGAAAGGAGACCATAAGTTATTTCTCCAAGTATGTTTGCAGAGATGCTTTTCCAGAAAAGACATTGATCCCCCCAGTTTTCCCTCATCTGTCATCTAAAATGCATCCTTCTTTTTATACTCTTTTTAAAAAGAGATATCCTGTGTATTTGTTCATTTATTCGTTGCCATTTGGCTGCCTTGGGTCTTAGTTTTGGCAGGCAGATCTCTGTTGTGGCGCACAGACTATTTAGTCACGGCTCATGGGCTCGGTAGTTGTGGCCTGTGGGCTCCGTTGCTCCTCAGCATGTGGGATCTCCATTCCCTGACCAGGGACTGGACCTGCGTCCCCTGCACTGCAAGGCAGATTCTTAGCCACTGAACTACCAGGGCAGTCCCTGCAGCCTTCTAAGTCACGAGCGTGTACATATAATTGGATATTCAGTAGAGAAGCCAACACGTAGCCTACAAGACCATTTCCCTACATCTCACAAAGTATTTATTTATTTTTAACTGAAAGATAACTGCTTTACAATATTGTGCCAACCTCTGCCATACCTCCTGCAATGCAGAAGACCTGGGTTTGATTCCTGGGTTGGGAAGATCCCCCTGGAGAAGGGAAAGGCTCCCCACTCCAGTATTCTGGCCTGGAGAATTCCATGGCGTGTATAGTCTATGGGGTTGGAAAGACTCGGACACGACTGCACGACTTTCACTTTCACTGCCGTCCATCAACACAAATCAGCCGTATGTGCACATATGTCCCCTCCCTCCTGAAGCACCCTCCCAGCTCCTACCCCCTCCCACTCCTCTAGGTTGTCACAAAACGTCCCTACGTTTTGATCAACAAGGGAAATAAAGTTCTGTTTAGAAACATGCAGGGTTTGCTCATGTCTCAGAAATGCTTCTGAGGGCTTATTTAACTCTGAGAAATAGAACGTTCAACTGTCACGAATCAAACCACTAATCCCTGGCCTGTTTCAGGAGGACCTAGTGATCATCTTTGATTCCCAGCAAGGGGGATGGAGGAAACTCGTGCCACTTTTCTAAATATCTTATTAAAGAAGCGACCTTGGGCTGTGGGAGCACCTCTCTTGGAGCTAAAAGCCTTTAGAGGTGAAGTTAAACATCGCCTTTGTGTTGTTACAGGCATTGGGAGCTCTTTGAAAACCACCCTCAAAGCTCATAGGGAACTGCAGTGTTGACACACACACACACAATCTGTCATAAATAGACTAGAGTAAAGCTGTGTGCACAGCCTCCATCCTCAGTACAAGAATCCGAACACTCCGGGGACAGTTGTGACCCAGGCCACAGAGGTGTGGCCTGGGGGAACCCAGACGCCAGAAGGGAAGCGGAGACGCTCGGCGCTGAGGAAAGCCCCGGGCCCCCAGGACCACCTCGCTCCCTTCTCCCTAACCCTAACGGGCTGAGGGGCCCATGGGGTCACTCTCGGCTCTGGACAGGCCTTCGCATCAAGAGGTGGGACATAACCTCACCCCAACTTCTCTGCTCCAGCTCAGGGAACTTCATAAACGTTCAGAACGATGGACTGAGGCTGTAATTCTCAAAACAGAAAGAAAAGAAAGTGAAAGTGAAGTCGCTCAGTCGCTCCCACTGTTTGCGACCCCACGGACTATGGCCCACCAGGCTCCTCCGTCCATGGGATTTTCCAGGCAAGAGGACTGGAGTGGTTGCCATAGTTCGCAAAGGCTACATTTAATGTGGAAAATGTGTGTGTGTTGGGGTGAGGATGGGAACAGGAGGCTGGTTCTACAGAAGGGGAAAGAGTGTCAGGGTGAGTAGTTTGGAATCGGCGTCCCCGAGAAGCTTGCCGTCCCGGGCAGGGGTCGGTAGCAGCCCACGGTCTGCGAGGGACGGCCGGCAGAGCAGGCGGTGAGGCCCGGGCGGGCGGGCGAGGCCTCCCCTGTGCTTCCAGCAGCCTCCGCTGCTCGGCATCACCTGTCAGATCAGGGTGCGAAGGCGGCTGCGCACCGCGCCTGTGCGGGATCGAGGTTTCGCGCCTCTTTGGGGAAGCACCCCCAAGCCGTCCTCCCCAGCCCCCCCGTCTGTGGAAGAGCTGCCTTCCACGAAACCGGTCCCTGGTGCCGAAAAGGCGGGGGGCCGCAGGTCCAGAGGGCGCGCAGACACACGCTCAAACCTGCGAGATGCAAGGCGGCCGGACAGCCCCAGAGACTGTCAGCAGGAAGGGTGAGCGTGAAGGGTTCGGACGCGGACGCCGGTGAGCGAGGGCAGGAAGGCGCTGGGCCTCCTGCAAACCCGGGAGGCCGGTGAGCAGCAGGCGACGGCGCGCAGGCAGCGCGGGCGACGTTCCAGGGGCGATGCCTACGCGGCTGGGAGGCTCCAGAGAGCCCGGGCCGCGCGCCTCACCGGCCCCTTCTTCCCTTCACAGGCTGCCCAGGCCCTGCTTGCCCTGACCACTGCCGGCATCGGAGCTATATTTGCGTTCAATTACTTCAACTTCGCCCAAAGATTCCCCCTGGTTTTCTTGACAGGATATCCATTTTGGGGAGCGTTCATTGTGAGTATTGTTAGGAGCTTTGCAGGAATTACCATAAAGACTGGTTTGAATCGACTCCGGTCCTGAGATAATGAATCCCATGCATGTGGTCCCCAAGGAGACCACCCCTTGATAGGGGTGATAGACCCTTGACAGACCACCCTATCACCTTGATAGTCAACCCCCTCCATGGCAGAAGAAGTGATTCCATTTTGGTCACTGCAATACCACCATCCTCATGGTGATAACGGCTCCTAGGTGTGCAATGCTGAAAAGTTTTCCAGCCCTCATGTGTATAGTAAGTCATTTGCTCCTTACTACCAGTCTGGGAGGTTAGATGGGTATATATCCTACTTTTCCCTGTGTAAATAAGAAAATGGAATTTGGGAGTAGGTAGTAAATTTAAACCTATCTGGCCAGCACTCACAATCACAGCCTCTTAAAGCTTAAGGAGAATTTTAATACATTATTATGGTTCAACTGCTTCATTATGCCCAGAGATAGTTTTATGCATGTCATTCATCCAGTTAATAAAAGAATCATAAATATAATTCCTAGCACAGAGCTATATCTGTTCAATCCCCACAGCCTTGGTTCCTAATCTTATGCCATCATATTTAAGGGTAGACTCATTAGAGCTTCCGCCATTAAGACCTGCAGTCCCAAGAGGACAAGAATGTTGTCTGTTATCATTGTTGTTACATTCTCAGACCTCAGAATCATGCTTGCTGCATAGCAGGTGTGAATGAATGAATCGCTCAGTGAACAAATGGATGAAATAATGAAGACATGACACAACTGTCTCTATTAAAACCCTGTTCTCTTTTGGTAAGCATAAATATTCCACACCTTTTCTGAGACACCTACTAGTACTGCTAGTTTTCGTTTCCCAAATGCCAATAACACAAGACAGAACATGATTTTCAAAGTGCACATACAGAAAACTAAACAGACCAAGTCCTCACTCCCCCCATCACGAGAGGACATTCCCAGTAGGATACTGTGTGATCGGTATGCGCTAATGACAGTGAGGGTCTGGCACATTACTTTTTAAAGCTCCACTCTTCACTGAAAAGATATTTACTGAGTACCCATACTACATCTGCAGAAGGGTCCTAGGTGCTCAGGGCACAGGTAGACAAGGCCCTCTTTGAGAGAAGTGATGAACTGCTCTTAGAAATATACAAGGTTTGGCATCTAATAGGCAGGTTATAAATGAAAAAGTGAGAGTAACTCCACAGGTATGTTATTACACTTGTGGAGTTCCAGGTATCAGGTGAAGATTTAACGGAAAACTCACCTGTGCTGGGAGGTCAGGGAAGTGCTTTGCACACGGGTGTTCACTGCGTAAAGTAGAAAGAAAGTTCACTCTCGGCAACAGTGAAACATGAGCTGAGGCCTTGATGTGGGGAAGAGCAGCAGGAAGAAGACCAATGAGTCTGTTGCAGTGGCATAAAATGAGGCCAAAAATGTAGACTGGAACCAGGTCATTCCAACCCTTGTGGCCGTAAAAAGAATGTGGAGCTTTAATACTAGAGCAAGGCTGGTAAGATCTGAAGACTTGTTATCTCTAAAATATTATGCCCACTGAGTGGGTAATGAACCCAAGGATGCTAAGAGCAGATCTGGGAGAATCAGAGGAGGGGAGGCTGCAAGATTCCAGGAATGGAGAGGTGGTACCTTGCACTCTCTAGAGGGCAGCAGCAAAGATGAAGGTGGACAGCTTCGAGAATGGCCTGGAAGTAGAATGAGGCTGACGGTGGCCCGAGGCGGGAGGTGAGGCTGAAGGAGGTGTCAGAGGTAGCATTCTGTCCTACATGTTTTCTCAAGGCCCTTGACTCCAAGGCCCAGTATCCCCAAAGTGGAAAACCAATTCCCATCACAGAGGTTCTCATTATTGGAACATTAAAAAAATATGGACTCCACCTTGGCGGACAGGGGTCTCATTTTTCCTGTGTGGTACTAAGCTCTCTGGGCTTCCTGGGAGCTCAGCGGTTAAGAATCCACCTGCAATGCGGAAGTTGTTGTTCAGCCGCCCAGTCGTGTCCAACTCTTTGCGACCCCATGGACTGCAGCATGCCAGGCCTCTCTGTCCCTCACTATCTCCTGCAGTTTTCCCAAGTTCAAATCCATTGCATCGGTGATGCCATCCAGCCATCTCATCCTCTGATGCCTTCTTCTCCAAGACATGTATGTCCAATCCCTGGGTTTGGAAGAGCCCCTGGAGAAGGAAATGCAACCCACCCAATATTCTGGCCTGGAGAGTGCCATGGAGAGAGGAGCCTGGCAGGCTACAGTCGATGGGGTCGCAAAGAGTCGAATATGACTGAGCGACTAAACAACAGCTAGGCTCTTTGTTGCATATAAATGACTGGGTCAGATAACACTAGATTCCAGGCCCTGTACTTATTCCGAGCAGACAGAGCTGCCTTCACTATTCCTGGCCCAGCGCCCAAGACTGTCTTTCTTTTGGAGCCCAGCAGCGTGGTACCTTTTGGGCAGCGCCTGCCTCACCCACCTGACGCTGGCAAAGAGCCCTTGTTGATGCCAAGCATGGCCAGCACAGGATTTCCTCTTAAGTCAGCGCCCACTGTCCTTCCCTGATGGGAGAGACCAGATACGGAAGGGTCTGGGAGGGTCACAGACATGTCGGTTATGGTGTACTCTCCAAAGGAAGTCATACTGTAGGGCAGTCAAACACACCATCACCTGTTAACCTTTCTCTCTTTTCTCCCTAACAGTTTACTATTACAGGGTACCTCACAGGAGCCAACAGTAATGACAAGTGTATGGTAAGTCACTTTGTCACTTCTGTGCGGTTTAAAACTGTCTACTTCTTTTAGACCATCTTTGGGTGGAAAGCCTTGAGTAATAAAGGACCTTCCAGGAAAATCTTTGCCCGTCAAATGTGCAGTTCAGGTCACTGCTATTTGGCAGTCAGCATGATCCCTGTAGCCTTCCACTGGATGCCATTGCCTTGGTCAAATCAACCAAAGGAGTTGCTTATTAAAGACCATTTTTACATTCCTCTAACTCAACAGTGCTTAACTGGGAGTAATTTTGTGCCTCCCCCAGCTCTGCCCCCAGAGGTATTAGACAAAGCCTGAAGACACTATTTTTTTTTCCTGGCTGCCAAGCGCAGCATGAAGGATCTTAGCTCCTGACCAGGGATGGAACCCACGCCCCCTGTAGTGGAAGCGCAGGGAAGCGCGGAGGCTTAGCCACTGGACCACCAGGGAAGCCCCACGCTGAAGACATTTTTGATTGTCACAACCGGGGGGTGGTGGGGTGAGGAGTACAGCTGTTATCTAGTGGGTAGAGACCAGGGATGTTTCTAAACATTTTAAAATATGAACAATAGTAAAAGAAAACAAAAACTGTATCCAAATATTTATTGTGTCAAGGTGTATAAACCCTACTGTAACCAACATCAATCCCAGGATCCCAGTTATTACCCCGCACCCCAACAACGGGCTCCCCAGGTGGCGCGGTGGTAAAGAATCCGCCTGCCAGTGCAGGGGACGTGGCTTAGAGCCGTGGGTCGGGAAGGGCCCCTGGAGGAGGAAATGGCAACCCGCTCCAGTACTCTTGCCTGCAGACCCATGGAGAGAGGAGCCTCGCAGGCAGTCCACGGGGTCACAAAAGAGTGAGACATAACTGAGTGACTGAGCGCGTGTGCGTACACACACACACACACACACACCCCAACAACGACAGAGTCTTCTCTTTGGGGTCTGCCCAAAGTCTGCAGGGAAGAGTCTGGCACTGATGCTGGATTATTCCAGGGCTGAATCCAGGCCACCATTCATCGCTGTGTCAAATTTGAAGGATTATTTTGAAGATTTAATAAAATACCACATATAAGACAAAATGATAGTTAAATGTCTACATGCCCTTCTAACCAGTCTGATTTTTTTAAGGCCCTGGAGAAGTAGGCATTCTCTCAAAGCCATTTTGACTCTTTCTTTATGGTCCTCTGCGAATATCCTCCAGAGACAGCAACAAACCACAGGGGAGTTCTAGCGGGGACGAAGGCCTCCGTCTCCCTCTACCCGTGGAAATACACATGGACGATGCAGAGGAAGCCTCAGCTGTCTTTCTTCTCTGCACTGACTTCCTTTTGGAGCTGAGGAACATACCAAGGATAAGGCAGACCTACCCATGGCTCACGGAGATAGAGGCAGACCGTTACATCACGGGGACAGCAGTGCTAACCTGGGCAGTGTGGGATCTGGCTCCATAAGAGCTCTTCCTCCGAATTCGCAATCACGTGATCCCTGAATCCTACTCATCTGTGACGTGGGGACTAATGGGGGTTTGCCTACATCGTAAAAACTGTCATGAGGGTGAGAGGAGACCAAGGCTGTGCACCCTCTCTGTAAACTGTAAAGCAGAATATACCTGAGGAGCTGTTGAATCAGAGATGTTAGTCCATGAAACGTCCTCTGGGAGCCAAAACAGAGCCTTGAAGGGACCAAAAGACTGAGGACTGAACGAGATGGTGTATCCATGTGCCCCTGGGTATTTTCTGCCAAAATTCCTGTTGGCAGAAAAAGATCTGTGTTTGGGGCAAACATTAAAATCATAGGTGTACTTCCAAGTTACACCACAGAGTCACAAGTCCTCCTGGATAGGACAGGGTGTGTAAATGTATAAATGTATCACTGCACTTCCCACCCCAACAGACGTAACACAATCAAGTATAGTAATAATCCACGGAAATGAGATATGAGACTTTTCTTTGTTTTTCTTTTAAAAGAGGAATATCCATGCTGGGGTTGGTAATGAATGACATCTCTCTTCCTTCAAAGGAACTCAAGAGTTATATAACTAAACAAAATGAAATTTCAAAAAAAATAGGAAGTAAAGGGAATAGGAAATTGGTGGGGCTATCTGAACTTTTAATAGCTTGCAGTTTCGAAAAGTGAGAGCAAAAGGAAGGAAACCATTAAATCTCAGTCCAGATTCATTGCCATCTGTAAATACATTATTGATTTGGTTGCTTATGGTTTGACTCCTCTAGGGGGTGATGTAAGCCACAGGAAGGCAGGACCTCATCTTTCGTGTTTACTTTTGTGTCTCATGGGCTTAACGCAGCACCTGACACGTAGCTGACCCACATGAAATATTTATTAAATAAACAAGCAGATATGCCCTAAAGTTGGGTGACACCACTCTCACTTGTAAAAGCAGAAATGGAAATTACAAGAGATTTGTTGATGTGTATAGGGTCCTAGTTCGCTAGGACTGAAAACTCAGTTCTAATTACAAGGCCAATATTCTCTCTAACACACAATTTTGCTTATAGATTATGAAAGATGACACATTTGGATAAAAAGGACGTTTTCTTTAGCATTAACCACAGAGCACCCCAGGGGCTTCCTAGATGGCACAGTGGTGAAGAATCCGCCTGCCACTGCAGGAGACACAGAGATGCAGGTTCAATCCCTGGGTCGGGAAGATGCCCTGGAGTAGGAAATAGCAACCCATTCCAGTAACCTTGCCTGGAAAAATCCCATGGACAGAGGAGTCTGGTGGGCTACAGTCCACGGGTCGGACCCAGCTGAATGTGCACACAACTACAGAGCACCCCTGCTAACCAGATTGCTTCCTTAGCTCCCCGGCTTATTCTAAAACTTGGTCTGGCTTATGACTTTGATGAATTCAGGATAGTGATGGAGCAATTCCTCCCTGAGGGGTATCTGGAAAAATAAAAGCACGAAGAAATTCCTTCAAAGTGTTTATTTATTTTGTTGTTATTTTTTAAACTATTTTCCAGGGACGAGGTATCACGAGCCTGAATCTCATCAGTTGTGTGGTCGCAGTGGCTGGAATCTTTCTCACCATCATCAGCTACAGATACCAACACAGATACTGCCAGGGGCCTTCCCTTGAAGGAATATGTGTGATAAGTAGAGTCCTTTACAATGTAAGCAGCCTCATTCTGGGCAACGAATCTGTATCATCTTGTGTGAACAACGTTCATGATGCATTGACCCATTAATTTTGACTCCTCTGGTCGAGGTTGGCTCAGCATTTGAGCTCACTGTTGAGAAGAGCCAGTGTGCCTGAACGGCCATGGAGTCTGGATTTGACTCCTGGTTTTGTCACTTGTATCTACTTCGCTGGGGGCTCAGACGGGAAAGCGTCTGTCTACAATGCAGGAGACCTGGGTTCGATCCCTGGGTCGGGAAGATCCCCTGGAGAAGGAAATGGCAACCCACTCCAGTACTCTTGCCTAGAAAATCCCATGGACGGAGGAGTCTGGGGCAGGCTACTGTCCATGGGGTCGCAAAGAGTCGGACACGACTAAGCAACTTCACTTTTCTTTCTTTCTTTCCTTTGTCACTTAGAAGCTTGCGACCTTAGCTTAGTATTTTGTCTTCTCTGAGCCTCCATTTTCCTCATTTGAAAAATGAAGACAGTAAGGTGTGCTGTGACGATTACTTACACTGGAGCGTGACGAGGCACGGTGTAAGGGGCCAATAGGTTTTAGCTCTTCCTATTGGTATTGATGGGGGTTGGATTCAATTTTACCTTATCAGTCTTAAGGAGTAGAATGATCTAAAAAGTTTGCTCAGTTAATGCTAAATATAGTTGGAGAAGGTGTCTAAGACACTTAATAAAGTGTTTTTTAATAATTTTAGAACATAAATCATTATATATAGAGTTTTACTCATTACAAGAGACGAACCGTATCTTTACCAGAAAATATAGGGGTTATTTTAAGTATTAATCTGATAAGTATTCAATGACATTATTTTTATGCATGTCAGCAATTCCAAAAGGCCTTTCTTCCTACTCTCTAAGCAAATCCTGGGCTTTCATTCAATCCCAATCAATTGAATATTGAAGGCTTTTGTCCTTGAATGTTAATGAGATTTGACTTGGGTGGATAGAAGTGAAGTGGGATCATGGGAAATTATCTCCCTCAATAAAGAAGGAAAACAGCTATCAGTTACTGAATATGAGGTCTTGTTTAATCCTCATGATTACCCATTAAAGTGAGCCTAGTATACTCTGATATGTTCTGAAACAAATTACAGAATTAGACTCATAAAAGGTTACTAAGGAAAGTCAGAAAACAATGTAAGAGACAAAATCCTAATTGGACCAAGAACGTGATGCTCCATTATTAGCCTTATCCCTTTTCCTAGTAGACAGGAGGCCACCACTGTACATTATGTTAGTATATACCAGGAAGAAATTGTCTTCTGAGGTTAAATCCCCAGATGAACAGAACTCTGTTCCTGCCCTGCACAGATGTGCATCAGAGCATTAGTTAGCTCCTGCATTCAGAATCCAGGAGACTCTGTTCCAAGACCTCCTATGTATATCACTTCACAATTCCTTGTTGAACACGACCCAAATATCAAAAACAAACTAAAAATATCCAGGAACAGTGGGCTTTACACATCTCCTGGACTGACTTCTGCCCCAAACACCAATCCACTGTCCACACTGTAGCTAAAGTCGTCACTTAAAAATGCACACCTGGACAGAATTACTCAATGGCTTCCTGTTAAACACAGAATTTAGACCCAAATCTTAAAAGGTTTATAAGACTCTAACACATCTATCTGGCCTAACTTTCTAGCATTATTCCAGGCCTTCATCCTCACTGCATGCTCCCCCCCACCTTCTAGAATTCTTTAAGGGGTCTAGACCACTTTTTCTTTCTTCAAATGTTCCCCAGCCCAGCACCTATCTTTTCACACCCACCCGCTGAACTCCTCCTCATTCTGTAATCTCAAACCTCATGTCTTTAAGAGGGTGCTTCCTGATCACACCTCTGCCCATCCCAGGGCAGGTCTCCCATTATATCAGTAGTAGTACCTAGCTCCCATGTTTTTTCATAGCACTTATCATAATTTAGTGAGGCAAATAATTGCCTAATTATTTGTCACTGTCTGCCTCCCTTACAATGATGGAAGTTCCACAAAGACCAAGGTCAGACCATCTTGTTCACCAGCTGAAGCTGGTAAATTCACAGTGAAAGTCACTCAGTCGTGTCCAACTCTTTGCAACCCCATGGACCATACAGTCCATGGAATTCTCCAGGCCAGAATACTGGAGTTGGTGGCCTTTCTGCTGCATATATTGTGGTTTTCTCAAAAAAGTAAATAAATAAATAAAAGAAGAATATTCAAACTTTTGGCTGTGCTGCAGGGAAATCAAAATTTAGACAGACTCTTGTCCAGGGTTAAGTGTAACAGTAGACCCAACTGCAGTCATCTCTTCTTGTTTCCAAAGGCTAAACTTTTTGGACACCATGCTATTCCCTGCTACTTCTCCCTACTTTAAGGTAACTAAACATCACCTTAAAGCAGAGTGTGCAAAATGGCAATCTATAGGCTACGCCAAACCCAAAGTATGCTCCATTTGGTTCACAGAAGTGAACAAATAACTGGAAAGTTTCACACTAACAGGGTGCATATCCAACTGCCTTAGGGATGAGAAGACTGCGAGGCATCAAGGTCCCCACATTCCCACATGGCAACTATTGCCTGGACCCGAGTAATGGATAGTAAGGGATATACCTCTCCTCTCCTTTCTCCCCTCCTGTTTCACCCGTTTGAGATGGCTGTCCGGTGCCTCTATAGGCACTGCAGTTCACTATCCCTGCTTATCAGACACACACAGGATGAAAACCGTTCAATCACTGATGACTCCAGACACGTCTAAATCATGGGCTTTCCCGTGATTGGTCATACTGTGTAACTGGTCCTTGGTTTATATCTTTAAAATGGCTTTCATTCCAAATGCCATATATTTATCTCCATTATTTACAGGGAATTTTGTCGGTCTTACTGATCATCAGCATAGCAGAGCTCAGCATCGCTGTGACGATCGCCTCCTTTAGAAGCAAGTGCTGGGCAAATTCAAACAAGGTGCGTTCAGTGATGTTGTGAGTATGGATTCCTCCTGGGACATGTCAAGGTGACCTCCAGCCTGTTAAGTGAGCAGAGCTGTGGTCTCCAGTGCTGAATTACAATTTCTAAGTTTAGGAAGATCAAGGAGGGACAGACTTAACACTGACGGCTCACTCCACACGGGGAAACACACCATGTTGCTTTTTACGCCTCTATGCCATCCACAGTCTCCCTGTTCAGACGTGACTCCTTACCTCCCTGTCGAAGTAAATGAAAAACAAGACCAAATGGGGATTCATATTATTGTAATATGGGGAGCTGATATCTGGGCCATAAAGCTCTGTGAAACAACCCCCTCAACAGAGAGGAAGAAAGCTATTTAAGTGATACCAATAGTATTTATAATGATCACTATAGCTTACATTTATTGAATGTTCACTATGTTAGGATTGTTATAATCACCTAACACAGCTTAATCTTAATTAAATTATTAAAGCATCTTTATTTTACATATGAAATAAATTAATAATCTAACTGAGGATTCCTCATATGTGATGAGGCACTTTTGCTGTTTAAAAGATTCTGTCTTTCAACAGATTAATTAAAATTTGCCTTGGTGTGTGTCCCTTTGAATTTATCCTGTTTGAAGTTCATTGAGCTTCTTAGATTTGTAGATGAATATTTTTCACCAGATTTGGTAAATTTTCAGTCATTATTTCTCTGAATGTTATTTTTGCCTCTTTCCCCTTTTCTTCTGAGGTCTCAGCGATACATGTGTTGGTCTGCTTGCTCATAGCTCACAGGTCCCATAGGCTCTGTTCACTTCTCTTAACCATTTCTTCTTTCTGTCCCTCAGACCCAATAATTTCGATTGTCCTATCTTCAAGTTCATTGATTATTTCTCCTGACTGCTCAGATCAACTTCTGAACCCCTCTGGTGTGCATTTTTATTAAATTTCTCAGCTCTAGAAAATATTTTGGTTCTGTTTTGTAATTTTTATCTTATTTATGTCTTCATTTTGTTCATATATCATTTTGCTATGTTTGCACATGATTTCCTTCAGCTCTTCTAGGGTCTTCAATAGAATTGTTTTAAAGTGTTTGTCTAGTATGTCTGAACTCTGGGCTTCCTCAGGTACAGTTTCTGCTCATTTATTTTGTTGGCTCAGTCAGTAAGGAGTCTGTCCACCTGCAATGCAGGAGACCCGGGTTTGATCCCTGGGTTGGGAAGATCCCCCGCAGAAGGAGCTGGCACCCCACTCCAGTGTTCTGGCCTGGAGAATTCCGTGGGCAGAGGAGCTTGGCAGGCCACAGTCCCCAGGGTTGCAAGAGTCAGACATGACTTAGTGACTAAACAACCACCACCCCTGACTAAACCGTATTTTTCTGTTTCTTTGTAGACCTTGAGGTTTATTTTCCTGAAAACCGGACACCTGCATCTTATAATGTATGAACCCTTGGAATCAGAGTCTCCCTTTTCCTCTGGGTTTTCTCGGGGAGAGGGCTTGTTTGCTTTTATTGTTGTAGAGCATCTCTGTGCCAAGGAGTAGCCCGAGGGTGAAAGCTTATGAGCTTCTCAGGACTTTTCTCGGCAGGTGTCTTTTCCTGGGTCTGTATGGTGGGCTTCTACACTCCCACATATACATAATTGTTTCTGAACATCAAATCAAAACAAAAATAGTTGAAGATAGGGGTAACTTCCCTCAAAGCTGCCTCAGCCAATGTGGACTGAAACAGTGGCATCCAGCCTCTGCACTTGCACCTCAGTGATGAGAAGCACTGATCCACAGTTAAAACACGGAAACCGGGTATTTGGGAGACAAGGTCCTTATTGCCCATCCCGACTCCAGCAGGTCACACAGGAGCGTGGGCTGTCATCGCCCAGTTTCCCACCAGGGGCTGGGAGTGAGAGGTGAGCGGTCACTGCTGAAACTGGCTGACGTAACTTGCCAATTCAGCGGCAAGAGGTCCTTTGGAAGCTGCAAGTGTTCAGACTCCAGAATTTCAAAATAGTTACTTCAGTTTCTGCCAGTATGATTATTGCATAGATGAACAGACAGATTCCAGGAGTTTCCTATTCTGCCGCCTTCCCTGTGATTTCTCTAGAGTAATTCTTAAAATCAAGTAGGGTACATCTTCTTTGTTCTTTTTCAAAATACTTTTTGGCTGTTCTAAGTGTTCAAGATTTCCCTATGTATGTTTTAGAAACTATCAGTTCTTACAAAAATCTTCCTGGGATTTTGATTGGAGCTCTACTGAACCTATAAATGATCTGGAGAAAATTGCTTACTCATAACATTCAGTCTTCTTATCGATGTCTATGCTATGTTTACATTTTCTTATATCTCCTTCCATTTCTCTGAGCACTAGTTTGCAGTTTTCAGTGTATAAGTCTTCTGCATATTTTGTTAAATTCACCCCTAAGTATTTCATGTTTTTTCTTGCTATTGTACATGGCATTTAAATATTTTACTTGCCAGATGTCCATTCCTAGAAAGAGAAATGGAGTTATTTTTATATACTGGTATGTTATGACCTTATAAAACTTATTAACTCTAATAGCTTGTTTATTGATTTCCTAGAATTTTCTAGATAGACATCTATTTTTCCAGTAAAGACACTTTTATTTACAAATTTGTTCCTTATTTTCCTTGACTTACTGTGTAGAGCCTCCTGGACTTTTTTTTTTTTTTTGAATGCTGAGCATACCCAAGCTTTCCTTGTTTACAATCTTAGGGTAAAAAAATGTTACAGTTTATCCTTAAATATGATAAACCCTATAGGGTTTTCATGGACTAAATTTATCCTAGTTTTCAGAGAATCTTTTATTATAAACAAGTGTAAATGTAAAGTTTCAACTCACATGTAACATTTTTATTATATTATCTGAGCCCAAATACCTGGTGCATTGCTCTTTTCTTGATACAAGTACAGAAGATTATAAAACTCTGTGGGACACTCTAGGAGCAATATTAAAACAAATTGCTCACACTGAATAACTATCCAATTTAATTCTACGAACAGAGCTTTGTAATTGCACAGCAATATGCAAGCTACAATAGAAGATTTAAAGATATTATATAATATGCACCCTGATCTCAAGAAGAGGAAAAGGAAGTGAACTCTTAATATTTACTGTGCCCATCACTGTGCCCACCACGGTACCTAAAAGCATTATTTCTTACAGTCTTCAGTTGCAACCACTCTGAAGTAAGGTATAACTGAAGTGGTTCTTACAAGGAAGCATAGGTTAGAGTGGTTAAATAGGCAAGCACGGGACCTGTAATTCTACTTCAGCGTATGAATCCAAGTTCACAAGTTAACAGCTCTTGACACTGGTTGGATCACTTAAAAGCTCTCTGAAACTAATTCTTTAAGTCATAAAACAAGGACAATAACCTCATACAGATGTCATAACAACTAGCTGACATGATTTTGGAGCCTTGCTTAACACCTGGTAATCTCTGTTATCATTAGGGATGAGTAAACTTACTAAAATCATAGCACTTAAATAAAGTGAGATAAGCTATAACTCATGGCTTCAAACTGCTCTCTTAACAAATGAATGAATTATAATTAGAACGAAATGGAACTTTGGGAATAAGTAAAAATTCAGACATCTCCCTTAAAGTACCATTTATCTTCACATAAACGCCCTCCAACAGGGATGACATATAGCTGTGGAAACAAATTAAAACAGTGGGGAATGATAATGTGAGAATGTGGACAGTCAAATTTCAGCCTGTCATCCATCCACAGGGTCACTACAATTAGGTCATTTAATCACTTAGAGGTCCAGCTGCTTCATCACATAAAACAGTACTCTCTTCTGACTCTGTTCAGTTCAGTGCAGTCGCTCAGTTGTGTCCAATTCTTTGCAACCCCATGAACCACAGCACGCCAGGCCTCCCTGTCCATCACCAACTCCTGGAGTCCACCCAAACCCATGTCCATTGTGTCGGTGATGCCATCCAGCCATCTCATCCTCTGTCGTCCCCTTCTCCTCCTGCCCCCAATCCCTCCCAGCATCAGGGTCTTTTCAAATGAGTCAGCTCTTCGGGTCAGGAGACCAAAGTACTGGAGTTTCAGCTTCAGCATCAGTCCTCCCAATGAACACCCAGGACTGGTCTCCTTTAGGATGGACTGGTTGGATCTCCTTGCAGTCCAAGGGACTCTCAAGAGTCTTCTCCAACACCATAGTTCAAAAGCATCAATTCTTCGGTGCTCAGCTTTCTTCTCAGTCCAACTCTCACATCCATACATGACCACTGGAAAAACCATAGCTTTGACTAGATGGACCTTTGTTGTCTCTGCTTTTTAATATGCTGTCTAGGTTGGTCATGAATTTCCTTCCAAGGAGTAAGCATCTTTTAATTTCATGGCTACAATCACCATCTGCAGTGATTTTGGAGCCCAGAAAAATAAAGTCAGCCACTATTTCCAGTGTTTCCCCATCTATTTCCCATGAAGTGATGGGACCAAATGCCATGATCTTAGTTTTCTGAATGTTGAGCTTTAAGCCAACTTTTTCACTCTCCTCTTTCACTGTCATCAAGAGGCTCTTTAGTTCTTCTTCACTCTCTTCCATAAGGGTGGTGTCATCTGCATATCTGAAGTTATTGGTATTTCTCCTGGCAATCTTGATTCCAGCTTGTGCTTCTCCCAGCCCAGTGTTTCTCATGATGTACTCTGTATATAAGTTAAATAAGCAGGGTGACAATATACAGCCTTGACATACTCCTTTTCCTATTTGGAACCAGTCTGTTGTTCCATGTCCAGTTCTAACTGTTGCTTCCAGATCTGCATACAGGTTTCTCAAGAGGCAGGTCAGGTGGTCTGGTATTCCCATCTCTTTCAGAATTTTCCACATTTTTTTGTGATCCACACCATCAAAGGCTTTGGCATAGTTAATAAAGCAGAAATAGATGTTTTTCTGGAACTCTCTTGCTTTTTCAATGATCCAGCAGTTGTTGGCAGTTTGATATCTGGTTCCTCTGTCTTTTCTAAAACCAGCTTGAACATCTGGAAGTTCACTAGGCTTCTATTTAAAAAACAAACAAACAAAGAAAACAGACTCGGTGACTCAAACAGCAGAATTTTATTTCTTGGAGGTCTGCAGGCTGGTAAGTCCAAGATCAAGGCTCCAGCAGGTTCAGAGTCCAGTGAGAGCCCACTCCCTGGTTTATGTCTTCTCACTGTGTCTTCATATGGCAGAAGGAGCCAGTGGGCCTCTGAAGTCTCTGTTATAAGATCGTTAACCCCATTCATGACGGCATGGTTCTCATGATATAATTTATCACCCAAAGGTCACACCTCCAAATATAATCACATTGGAGATTAATGAAAATTAATTAATTTCCATCCTTCAGTTCAGTTGCTCAGCCATATCTGACACTTTGTGACCCCATGGACTGCAGCACTCCAGGCTTCCCTGTCCATCACCAACTCCCAGAGCTTACTCAAACTCATAGTCAGTGATTCCAACCAGCATCAGAGTCTTTTCCAATGAGTCAGTTCTTCGCATGAGGTGACCAAAGTATTGGAGTTTCAGCTTCAGCATCATTCCTTCCAAAGAATATTCAGGACTGATCTCCTTTAGGATGGACTGGTTGGATTTCCTTGCAGTCCAAGGGACTCTCAAGAGTCTTCTCCATGGAGAAGGAAATGGCAACCCACTCCAGTTTTCTTGCCTGGGAAATCTCATGGACGGAGGAGCCTGGCGGGCTATAGTCCATGGGGTCGAAAAGAGTCAGATATGACTGAGTGCTCACGCACGCACACATATACACACATACATGTATACACACACACACACACACACACACACACACACACACACACACCCGTCTTAGCTAGATCTAAACCGAAGTCCTACAGGCAAGTCAAAGAACTTTGTGAGGATTCCCTTCCAAAAACACCACACCCACTCAATGCTCTAACGTCCACACATGCATTCAAGCACAGCATACAAGTAGATCTTGGAAATGTATAGATTCAGAACCTCTCATGTTTTAGAAGAATGAACTTCAAGTAGGAAAGTATTCACAAGCCAGCACTGCAACTTCAAAAATGAATAAAAGGCCCATTCCCTGGAAGCAAAAAAAAAAAAAAAAAAGAAACCATTACATGAGGAAGATGGTGTTAGAGATGAAATTTGGGGCCAGCCATGTTCAGTGTAAACCAGCAATAAAAAACACAAATTGAAGGAAAAAAAAAAAAAAAAAAAGAGTCTTCTCCAACACCACAGTTCAAAAGCCATCAATTTTTTGGCACTCAGCTTTCTTCTCAGTTCAACTCTCACATCCATACATGACCAGTGGAAAAACCATAGCCTTGACCAGAGGGACATTTGTTGGCAAAGTAATGTCTCTGCTTTTTAATATGCTGTCTAGTTTGGTCATAACTTTCCTTCGAAGGAGTAAGCGTCTTTTAATTTCATGGTGCAGTCACCATCCGCAGTGATTTTGGAGCCCCCAAAAATAAAGTCTGACACTGTTTCTACTGTCTCCCCATCTATTTCCCATGAGGTGATGGGACAGATTCTATGATCTTAGTTTTCTGAATGTTGAGCTTTTTTAAACCAACTTTTTCACTCTTCTCTTTCACTTTCATCAAGAGACTTTTCAGTTCCTCTTCACTCTCTGCCATAAGGGTGGTGTCATCTGCATATCTGAGGTTATTGATATTTCCCCCGGCAATCTTGATTCCAGTTTGTGCTTCCTCCAGCCCAGCATTTCTCATGATGTACTCTGCGTATAAGTTAAATAAGCAAGGTGACTATATACAGCCTTTGACGTACTCTTTTTCTTATTTGGAACCAGTCTGTTGTTCCATGTCCAGTTCTAACTGTTAAACTTCATTGCTTGCAAGTTCTATCTTCCACAGAATACTAGAATGTAAACACAGTTCAGCCAAGTTCTTAGCCACTTTATACCAAGATCACCACCTCCTGGTTTCCAATGACATTCTCCTCATTTCTGTCTGAGACCTCATCAGAATGACCTTTATCATTCATATTTCCACCCACACTTCATTCAGGATTACTAAGGTGTTCTCTGGGACTGAAGTTTTCTCCCCAGCTCTCCTTTTTTTCTTCCAGGGCTGTCACTGGAATTGCCCCTAATGGTTCATTCACAATAATATAAGCCTTTCCTAGCATGCCCCTCAAAGCTTTTCCCACTTCTACTCATTACCCGGCTCCAAATCTGCTTCTGCATCTTTGGGTATTGGTTACAGCAGCAATCCCACTGCTTGGTAACAGACTTTGTCCTAGTCCAGCTGGGATGCTGTGGTGAAGATGTGTGTTCACACATGTGTGCTCCGCACTCGTTCCATGTCTGACTGTGATTCTATGGACTGCAGCCCACCAGGCTCCTCTGTCCATGGAACTTTCCAGCAAGAATTCTGGACCAGGCTGCCATTTGCTCCTCCAGGGGCTCTTCTCAACCCAGGGATCAAACCTGCATCTTGTGTGGCTCCTGATTGGGCAGGTGGATTCTTTACCACTGAGTCACTTGGGAAGCCCTGTACTAAAGACTGGGTAGCTTAAATGACAAAAATGTATTTCTCACAGTTCTGAGAGCTGGGAAGACCAAGATCAGGGTGCTAGCAGATTCTGGGTCTAGTGAGGACCCACTGCTTGGTTCACAGATGGCAGTCTTCTCATGGAAGAAAGGACAAATCACAGGGCTCTTTGGCATCCCTTTTACAAGGGCACAAATCTCATTTATGAGGGCTTCACAGTCATGATCTAATTACCTGCCACAGATTCTAACTTGAACACCACACACTGGAAATGAGGTTTCAGTGTCTGGTTCTGAAAGGACGCATTTGGTCACAGGACCTACGCACCATCTAACAACATCTCACTGCTCACCCCCTGCCATCACACTTGCTACATCCTGCCTTATGTTTTTGTATTCACTCTTCCCTCTCCCTGGACTTTGGTTCCTTTCTTCCTTCATCTTACCTTTACACCCAACGAATTTCTGTTCATCCATCAGGACACAGACCAAATATCTCTTCTTCAGTGAATTCTTTGCTGGCTCTCTCAGAATTAGGTCATCTTCTACATTCTCATGAAGCACACAGTACCTAGTTCTATAATAGCATTTGATAAACTGTATTGTTATCCATTTATATCTTGACCTATTTATAATTCTGGGCACAGTTATAGGGAAAAACCCACATTTGACTATGTTTGATCTCAAGCATCCAGTTCATCTATAGTAGGTGATAAGTAATCATTATAAACCTGAATACATGAATATTGAGTAGATAATTTAAAATATCTTAGAAAGTCATAGTGTTAGTTGCTCAGTCCCACTTCTTTGCGGCCTCATGTATTATAGCCCACCAGGCTCCTCTGTCCATGAGATTCTCCTGGCAAGAACACTAGAGTGGGTTGCCATTTCCTTCTCCAATGGATCAAACCCTGGTCTCCTGCACCACAGGCAGATTCTTTACCATCTGAGCCAAATCCTAAGTATGGGAAGACTATTCCAGACAATCTCAATAAACTGTCCTCTTCAACAGATGAGACAATAGAGGCTGAAGACTTGTCCATAAAAAAAAACCAGTGAGTTGGGACTTTCCTGGTGGTCCAATGGTTAAGCTTCACTTCAGGAGGCACGAGTTCTATCCCAGGTCAGGGAACTAAGATCCCATATATGCCGTGTGGCATGGCCAAAAAATAAATTTAAAAAAGGTAAATATAAATAAACAAAACTAATGAGTTGATGGTAAAAGCAGTCCTGGGTTTGTTTTCTGATTCCTCGTGTAGATTTTACTTCCTATCTACTCTCTTAAGGCAGAGAGAAAAAATAGTTTGGGACTACAAGAAGAAAATAATGTCAAAGATGACTCTGTTCTATTGTTTCCCTTGCCCTTTGGTTTTATAGATTGTGTTTTTCTTGCCTTCGGATGTTACTCAAGAGAGTGAACTATCTGTTCCTGATGAAAATGCTGTCATACAATTTGAGCTACAAGAAGAGTCTACAAGTGATGACTCAAGGACAAACATAAAACCTGCTTTCTTTGGAGGCTATTCATTCTTCAAGTTAAGAGTCACGAAAAATCAGTTTACCTTCCAACATGCAGGCAGGAGAGGCAGCAATAGTTTCAACACATCTTCTCTGTTTATGGCAGATGAACAACAGAAATACATCCCCCAAACTTTAAGCCTTTATGGGGAAGAAGTGGAAGTGAAACATTTGCCTCCCATCCTAGAGAAAAAGCCCTCAGAAACCATGGTGAATTCTGAACCACTGAATGATGAAGACCTACGAGCTGTTATCACACAATCCCCAGAAGAGAAAACTCCATTGTTGCAGGACCAAGCCTCCAAACCCCAACTTTCTCCATCTTATTCTGTAAAAAGTGTCCATGATTTACCACCCCAAGACTTGCCATCCCAAGCTTCGAGAGCTGAAACTTCGCCAGAACAAGACTTGCTATCTGAAGCGTCAACATCTCATGTCACAGAGTCCCATGGAACTACATCCCAAGACAAGCAATCCCAGGGCATACCACCACAACATACACAATCCCATGACATGCTATCTGACTACCTACCGTCCCCAGACATGCCTGCCCAAGACCTCCCTTTCCAAAGACAAGCCCTGACATTACAAGCCATACCATTTGGAGCCACCTCGTTCCTGTCTGTGCGGTCCTCTGATATGCAACACCTAGATCAACGGTCTCTGGATTTTCAACTACAGAATGTCCAATCTCAAGAACAGAGAGCTGTGCATTTATTATATCAAGACATTAAGTCGGAAGTCATGTTAATGACCGAAGGATGGAAACCTGAGGAGGGACTTCAGAGCAGGAGACCATCAAAGCAGCTTTCCCAACTACAGCAAAGCAAAGGCTGTCCGTGTGCAAAACAGAAGCCCCTTGCCATGGACACTCAAGACCAACCGTCTGCAAGGAGGAGCTCCCTAGACAAGCACATCAAAAGCTGGCTGTCTCCAAAAAAGCAATATCTAGATAAGGAAATTCAAGTTAGTCAAACCATGCTGCAACTCCCAGATCAGCAAGCTGAGAACCTGCGAATCCAAGAGGAGAAACCCCCAAGGCAGCTATACCAAGATATGCAAATCCAGGAGTACCATGACTGGCAGTCTCCAGACAGGAAAGTCCAAACCTGGCAATCTTTAGGCCAACAATCCCAAGAATGGAGAACTCAAGACTGGAAAAGTAGAGAATGGGAAAAACGAGAACGGCAACTTGAAATGCAGCATTCCCAAAACTGGGACTTCCAGACCTGGCAAACCCAAGAGCTACAAGTGAAAGAATCCCGAAAGCAGAGATCTCTATTCCAAGAAACCCAGCCTCTGTATGCCACTATTCCATCTGACCCAGATGAACAATCCCAAGATGTTCTACAAGACAGTCAGCACCAAGATAAAGACCAACAAGACCTTCAATTCGCAGGAATCCAAAAAGAAGTTATGGAAACAGATGCTGTGCAAACAAGGGACATCAAATCAGAGGATCTGAGTTGTGGAAAAAGCCAGACTCCAAGTGACGTGCAATCAGAAGATGCGAAGTCATATTTTAACTGTTTCTCCTACCAAAGCTCAGTACAGGAACTTCAATCCACAGGAAGTCAAAAACAAGATATGGAAACAGATGCTGTGCAAACAAGGGACATAAAATCAGAGGATATGAGTTGCAGAATAAGTCAAAGCCCAACTGACTTGCAATCAGAAGACGTAAAACCAGATTCTAACTGTTCTTCCTACCAAAGCTCAGTACAAGACACGTATCATGCCTATATGTCTGATAAAAATTCAGGACAAGATGTGAAACAAGACACATCAAGTTGCTCAGCTGTATGCAAAGGAGACCCGCCTTTAGCTTCTGCCTCCTGTGACTCAAAAGAAAGACAGCAATCTGAAGACTCGGGCTAATGTGCAGACTCTCCCACACACTGCACCACTCCTAGTTTTGGAACCAAATTAGGGAAAAACAATCTTCAACCTATGTTCTCAGGTGTGGTTACTACCTTATTTACTCACCAGAAAACAAAGGGCATGCAAAACACTCAAAGGATATGTCCTTAATTATAATAAAATGACAACAAATACTAATACTATATCAGAACTTTCTGGGGGTGAAGAAATAATTCACATTTAAACTCTGTTATCAAGGTTAGTGTCTCAGTTTATGATCACTAATTCCTTTTACAGCTTAATATTTAATGGACTTACTCTTCCATGGTGCTAACATGTTTTGCCTTCTCCTTTGTGTATTATAGAAGCTCAGTAAGTCAACCAGGAAGAAGTCTACATGGCTCTCTAAGGGCTCAAGGACCGAAAGAGTTGGCAAGGAATAAAAATCAATTCCACCATGATTCTGTTTGGCTGTTTCCAATCACCCAAATTACTCCCCCCTCCAAATCTAAATATATGTTGAGGATATGGACTTTGTTCAATTAATGAGATCAGATGTGGCAGTGAGTACAGAACGTGGTGAAGAGAGAGAGAATAAAACTTACCTAGAGACAGGGGAGTAGGAGGCCGGGAAGGGAAGAGATGCAGAAGTCACAGTAGAAATTATGACAGACTCATGAATCGAGTGAAACTCTACTGCCCTTCATATGCCTCCGCTCACCGCTTCTAATTTCATAAACTCATGACATACAGCTTCACCCTCAGTGGGCAAAGGAAACTGTGTGGTCACAAGCCATCAGTTACCCTCCCTCCTCCAAGCTTGAGTACATTTGCAATCTGCTTTCTCCTTGAACTGTGTTTGATACATTTGGGGTTATTCACCAGCCTTTTTCCCGCTAAAATTTACCACCCTTGTTGACTTCTGCACTTTTTTTCCTTTTTCTATTTCAAGAAGTTTAAAATGGTATTTCAGGAATATCTCTTCAACTTCCTTCTTTTTTGAAATCACGGATACTCTCATAGATCTCTCGTATTCTTATGACTACCCCAAGATTGCGCTATATCTATGTCTTCTACAGGATTCTGCACAAAGGATCTTTCTAGTAGGGATTCAGTAAATTATGTTTAAAAACATAAGCATGAGCTTGGGGCCTTCACCTAGAGGCGAGTGAAATTACATGCAGTCGGGCAGTGACACAGCTGGAAAGACTGGCTGTGTGCTTCTTTTTGGCTGGGAATACTCATTTTTTGGGTCCATTAACGAATAGATCCACCAAAAAAAAAAACACCTTTTAAATACAGGATAATAAAAATTGAACATTAACATTCTTCTTCAATTTTGTGTAAGCTCTGCAGTAGAGAAAAATATACGAACTTCAAACAGCTGTAAAAACTGTGTCTTAGGAAGAAAACAGAGTTTCTACATTGATACAAAAAAAAAAAAAACAACAGGCATTTTTCTAATTCAACCCAGTCCTCGGGCAGGTGGAGGGTGCAGAGTTGCCACTGGCCACCCAGAGAAACGCCAGCTCTTCCTCTCCCCGCCGACCCACTGGGGTCTGGCCAGGCTGGGCTGCTGCTGAAGAATCTCAGGGTAAAAGCAAGATGAAAATACCACTCGGGAAAAGGCGTGCTTCCCCTGTGCCAGCTGCTGGAGTGGTCAAGTGCTCCCCTTGCTTCCCCCCTCTGATACACTGAGGCCATCCCATCAGTGAATCCGGGTGTAGAGTTGACAGAACCGATGTGCCTAGGAGCCAGTGCAGGGGAATCACTTGTGAAGCAGCTGTTCATAAAGGCAAGGTGCGAAAGGAGGAAGGGAACCAGAGCATTTATGATTTACTTAAAGGCAATCCAAGGGTTTTCTTACTACCTTATTTTAAACATAATATGTTTCTCCTAGAATCATTATTGGGTTTTTTTTGGGGGGGGGGTAATATTGGGAAGACCCGATTTTCTGATGCTACTACCTTATACCTACAGTTGCCAAGAAACCTTGGGAAAAATGAGCTGGTTATCCAGAAGTGCACTTTAATTTGCTAGACTGAACATCCCACATCTAGGAGGTGGGAAAGTAACTATCACCAGTGGAAGGCTGACGAAGTGATGCTCCCCGCTTCCAGGCTTGACCCCCAAATGGCCTGCATTATTCTCACAATCTCTTCTTTCTCTCTTGTCCTGGTCAGATGGAGAGAATCTAGGGCCCAGAAGATGCCAAGATCTGTAGAGAACTGAGCATTGTCCATAAATAGCTGCACAGATTAAACCCATTGCTAAACATTCAGTTGGACTGTGACCCAGGAGGGAAACCTTTTATGGTACTAGGCTGAGGAAAGACAGAATTATTTGTCACAGAAGTTATTTTGAATAAGAGTTGCTAAGGCAACAACAATAACAAAAAACAACATATTTCAAATCTTGCTCAAAATGGAAAAAACTCTAACTACTATCCTCTTGTATTACCCTTCCCCTGGAGAAGGGAGAGGCTGCCCACCCCAGTATTCCTGGGCTCCCCTGGTGGCTCAGATGGTGAAGAATCTGCCTGCAATGCGGGAGACCTGGGTTCCATCCCTGGGCTGGGAAGACTCACTGGAGGAGGCCATGGCAACCCACTGCAGTGTTCCTACCTGGAGAGTCCCCAAGGACAGAGATGCTTGTGTAACAGATTACCACAAACACAACTGTTTGAAACAATACAAATTTATTCTCTCTTAGTCTCCATAGGTCAGAAGACAGGTTATGTTACTAGCTGCAATACTTGGGCCACCTGGTGCAAAGAGCCGATTCATTGGAAAAGACTCTGATAACGGGAAAGATTGAAGGTGGGAGGAGAAGGCAGCAGCAGCAGATCAGATTAGACAGCACCATTGACTCTATCAGTGCAAATCTGAGCAAGTTCCAGGAGACAGAGAAGGACAGAGGAGCCTGGCATGCTGCGGTCCACAGGGTGGTGAAGAGGCGGACACGACCTAGCGACTGAAGAACAGCACAGGTTACTTGCTCAGGGTTCCCAGCCAGCTCTGTGGTTCTGAGGCTTGGGATTTTCTTCCGAGCTCATCTGTCAGTGGAAGAAGCCAGCGACTTGCAGCTGCAGGCACGAGTCCCTGTCTCCTTGCTGTCTGTCTGCCAGGGGCCACTCTCCGCTCCTAAAAGACACTTGCATTTCTTCTCATGTGGCTCCTTCCACCTTCAAGCCAGCAGTGGTCTGTCAAGTCCTTCTCAAATTTCTACTTTTGCTTTTAAGATGATTACACTTGTGATTACACTGAACCCATTCAAATAATCCAGGCCAATCTCCCTATTGAAAAGTAAGCTCAGTAACTGTGTGAAGTTCCTTCTGTCACTTAAGGTAACATATTCATGGGTGTGATATTTCATTGTATTCATAGTCCTGGAAATTAGGCCATAGGATTTTCTTGGGGGCCATAATTCTTTCTATCACACCCTTGATGGGTGATAAGGGGAGAAGGAAAATGATTCAACATATTTTGACGTAAGATTTTCCCCTCTAATACATTAACTTGCCTTGTCACAGTAGAAGTAGCCTCTTTTTTTATGGTTTCAATAACTGTTATTTATTTACATGGTTTAAAGAATCAGCTAGCCATACAAAATTATCTTGAGTCACAAGTAGGCCCATTTGGAACTCAAAATATTTCGAATTCAGCCTGAACCAGACAAATATTATGTTCTATGAATACCTTGATTTGAAAAAGTGGAAAAACACTGGTCTTCTCACAATGGAAGATCAAGATTTAACTTTTTTCCAAACCCCAACCAACACGTACACAAACATCTCCCATCCCCAGTGCTCGCTAAAAAGCTCGCAGTTTTGGTCAGAGAATTTGTTGTTTATATCTTTATGACAATATATGCCATCAGAGCTGAACTGTTTACTAATTTTTAAATTTGAACAGTGATTTTTTTCCCCCCTGGAATTATGGTTTTTCTTTTTCTTCTCGCTTTTCAACCCAAAACTTTCCACTAGTTTTTCTAAGTTCTCTTAACACAATGATTCATATTACAAATTGTATCAGTTTCATCATTTTGAAGAACTTTCTACTGAAGATGTTCAGGTTGCTCACTCTCCATCACTGGTACCCAGCTGTCATCTCAGGATTGCTTTGTCATCATCTTGGGATTTTTTTTTCATGACCCTCTTTCACTTCATATCTCATTTATTTCTCTCTTTTGCTGTCCTCCTTTGTTAAGAAAGCAAAAACAAGAAACAAAATCACATATTCCAGTAACTTTCCCCCCCTTTCTCCATATATAACATATTTATCGATTTTCCTGTTATGACGAATGTTTTTTCTGGATGACTTTGTAACACAGAAACAAAAATGAATATACACACATACTTTACATTTTATACTTCAGCATGCATTTTTTACAATTCAATCCCTGTAAAGTTTTTCTTCTTTTTACATTTTAAAGTAATTATAGACTCATTCAAAATTCTTTGAAGCTGCAAAGATAAGAGTGTGGCATACCCTTCACTTGTATCATCCAACTGGTTACATCTTAGGTAGATGAGACACAAGATCAAACCCAGGAAACTGACACTGGTACACTACAGTTACTTGAACTGTTCAGTTTTTGTCATCTTTTATCCTGCATTCATTTGTGTGTGTGAGAGTGTTGTATTTCAGTTCAGTTCAGTCACTCAGTCATGTCTGACTCTGCGACCCCATGGACTGCAGCACACCAGGCCTCCCTGTCCATCACCAACTCCCAGAGCTTGCTCAAACTCACTTCCATCATGTAGATGGATGCCATCCAACCGTATCATCCTCTGTCATCCCCTTCTCCTCCTGCCTTCAATCTTTCCTAGCATCAGGGGCTTTTCCAACGAGTCAGTTCTTCCCATCAAGTGGCCAAAGTATTGGAGTTTCAGCTTCAGCACCAGTCCTTCCAATGAACATTCAGGACTGATTTCCTTTAGGGTGGACTGGTTGGATCTCCTTGCAGTCCAAGGGACTCTCAAGAGTCTTCTCCAACACCACAGTTCAAAAGCATCA